GGTGCGGTTGTGTCACGAGTTGGTACGGCGCCTAGCCGTTTTTTAATTTTTTCCTTTTCGCGGGCTCGAACCCGCGACCTCTGTACTACTTGCCCGATATGGACGCGTCGCTATCCACTGTACGATTAGATTAGATGGGGCGGCAGTGCACGGCACAGCTCGGGCTCCGCTGACACAGCCGCTCTGACTCACCGGCCCCCGGGGCCGCGTCGGCATGCTGTGCACGGACCAGCTGTGCATGGACCAATGCGCACAGCCTGCCCTTAATCTCCCCTGTATATAAGCCGGCCTCTGCTGCCCTAGGGACCTCAGTTTCGACCTCTTGTCCCTAGGTCAGTAAGCTCTCCTGTACCTACTTATCTTTCCTTACTAACTAATATATTCTTGTCCCTAGCCTTAGGTTTGAGCCTCGCTCACCATCGCTTCGGTGAGAACCAGTCGGACGCCCCTCGCTTCTAGATATTTCCCTGTCGCTTGACCTCAAGTCGCGACAGGTTGACGCCATTGACTTCAGCGTCCTTGAGCTGGGCTTTCGACGCTAGCTGCTCGAAGCGGGTGACGTAGTTTCCAAGGGAGAGCGCCGTCTTCTTGTTCTTTTGTCGTTCGGGCAGTCTCATCAGGATTTGGTGTGCCTTGATTCGCGTTCCGTGCTCGGGAAACGCTTCCTCGAGGGCGGTGGCGAAGGCTGCCCAATCGGGATAGACCTGGACTCCCCCTGCCGACTTCTCGTAGTATGCGTCTGCCCATGTCTTCCCTAGGTCCTTCCTCATCAACGCTACAGTGAAGGCGATCTTTGCTTCATCGCTAAGTCTGGTGTTGTTGGTGGCGACGAAGTAGGAGAGGACGCATTGGATGAAGCGTCTGAGGTCTTCCGCCTTTCCGCTGAAAGGTTCGGGAGCGGGGATGTCAAGGCGAAGGGGTCGGTTGGCAGTTGACTGTTGGGATTGGTATGCTGCGAGGGCGACAGCGATGCGCTGATCGATGTCTGCTTGAGTGAACGTTGCCATAGGGACTTCAACCGGTGCGTTGGTTGGTGCAGGTGGAGCTGGTGGTAGTTCTGGAGCCTCGATGGGAACGTACTGAACGTCCGGGAGCTCGAACGGTTGTTCGTTAACAGGTGACTGTAGGTTCTCTGTTGTTTGTGCTGGTTCGACGTTGATTCGTAGGGTGGCGAATACGTCTTCTGGGTGAGCGGGAGGGTGTCTCTGGTAATAGCTGACAAGCTGTTGATGGGCGATGATCTGCGGGTTGGATCCTTCTGCACGAACCCAGGAGCCGCCTCGAGGATAGATGGGAGTCCTTCTTGTGGTGGTGACGAAGCAACGGTCTGCTCGGTCGTACTGGAGAAGGGGAGATCCTGCGAGGGCTGGTAGTCTTAAGGGAACCGGGTTTACTGCGTTGTTCGACGTGATGGTGGATGAGTTGTTCGACTAGGTGAAACTAGGAACGTAGCTTAGAAAGTTCGACCTTTTGATACAACGGTCTATACTCCTATATCGATGCCTGACTCGTAGACGACGAGCGAGGGCTTATGGACAGTGCGTCGTCCTGAAGATCGAGCGAGGAAGTCGAGAATGACCACTACCCCAAGCGAAGAGGAGCAGAGACTTGAATGAATAACCAGGTCGAACTTAGGGTTCGACCGACTAATGGTACAACTACTTATACAAGTACCGACTACGCACGGACCATCGTGTCTATATGGTCGTGTTAGTGAAGAAAGAAACGTAGTGGTACGATACCAGGCACGAAGTGCGCACGGACCCCATTATGTAAGCAGCATAATGTTCAACCTGCGGGTGAGCACTAGGACAGGCGCCAGTATGGGCGCTAGTAGTACAAGGAATAGAACGGAAAGACAAATGTTTCACCAAAGCTGGATGCATGGGGGATCAACCTGTGGTGCGTACCCTTCATGGCGTCTTCACTGCGGCTCTGATGGATGTGTATTGTCCATAGTATTTATATAGGATATCCATCAGGTACAATGCACACCGAGCTCAAATTGATGAAAAGATCACTGACAATTGGTGTCTGTAGGTGAAGATCACTTTGTCTAGGGGCCCCTCACTCGCGCCGTGCACGGAGAAAGGCTTCTTCCACCATATCACAACTCCACCGCGTTCACGGATTGTCATGCATATATTCTCTGCAAAATATCATCTCAGATCTCTATCATCTTCTATCCTCCCCGTTACGTTGTTGAGCGGCATCGCGTCGTTCCATCTATCTAAATGCACAATCTGCGCGCATGCGTGCTACGATCACACAAATGCCACGCCCCCAGGACGCCCCTGCACATATACAGTGTCCTCCTCAGACGAGACACAATCCCGGGCGAATGTTGGTCTCTATCGGCGGCGATCAATACACCCGGTCCACCTTCATTACTCCGTCGTCCTGTGCACCACGAAGCTATGTGGGTCTAACGCTGGCCCTCGACCCCCTTCGCGCTGAGTGCGATCAGCCGTCGAGACTGTCGGTGCATTTATGACCTACCCTCGCGCTACTCGATCTCGATCTTTCGCTGGGCAACCATGCTTGGGACTCCGTCTCCACGCTCATGCACGCGCCTCGCATCGTCCGTGACGATACCGGGTTGGGTGGGCTCAAGAAAATGCTCTCGCAGACCTTCTCCGAAATCTCCTTCTTGATGTTTTTCTGCACTAAGTGCTGCTTCATCCCCTCCAGAACGGGCCTCCGGCTGTCTTCCATTGGCACCTTACTGCCCGTCAGGCGCGCCAATAAACTGCCAGTGCATTGAGCGAGCTTCCGCTGCTGCTGGTTACTGCCAGGCTGCGGCGCATCCCCTGCGCGAGAATGTTACCGACTGTCAGAGGGTGCTATTCGAGCACAAGTATGATTTATTAGTGTTGCTCTAATACACATGTACCACTACAACTCGACAGAAGACCTGCGGGACAACAGTGCGCAAATGAGATCCCAGACCGGTGGAAGGAAACGAGGGATATGCAGTGCGCAGGTGAGCAAGCTGGCGAACAAATGTATGAGTGAATGAATGTGAGGATTGGGGCGCGGATGGACGAGCAGGAGGGGCAGGGTGCGGATGGACGAGCAGGCGGGTCGGGACGTGGACGGACAAGCGGGCTAGAAGAGGGTGTAGAAGAGGGTCTGTGTAACAATGAACGTTTTTGGCCACATTGACGTGTTGAGCGCAATTTCTATATGTGTGAGTACATGGTAAGCTGCGTCTGTGCGCTAGTGCGGAACGAGGCGCACAAACATGAATCACCGCGATTATCAAACGGCGTATTTTGCGAGCATGCTGCGCTCATGCTTTTCCTTTGGCGGAGTCTGGGTGACGCAGCTGAGCGCGCAAGCATGTGGGTCCGCATTTGCATTTGACTGTGGTCCAGCGTTGGACCTGCCGAAGCTCCTGTTGCACATGTGTATCAATCGGTACGGATAGGGGCCCGAAGATCATGAATAACTCGAGGGAAGGAAGAGCAAAGCGCAAGCATTCCAAGTCGGCAGCGGTCGGGAGCATGACATCCCACAAGTACAACAACCTGACATTTCTCCATGGAGGTTCCTTGAGAGATGACACAGTCTGTGCTAAAAGCGCTAAAAGCAGCCCAGCGGAGTCTGTTTCTTGGTGTGATACGAGTCGACCGCCATCGGATGACATGGGTGGAAGCATATCCATCTCCTCCAGGCGGGGAGCGGACAGGAGGCGAAAGGCAGAGAACGTCCGGGCATCAATGGCAGTGTCCACGAACGTAACGTCATAGAGGTGAAGCCAGCGCAGTTGAGGGAGGGCGCAGACGAGGCGCCAAAACGCCAGGACCGTAGGGAACGTGACGCCATACAGGAAGAGCGTGCTGACGTTGTTGAAATAGGCCAAATCGAGCAAGAGGTGATGATGATCGAGATCCTGGACCCGCCACTCTGCCTTCTCGATCGTCAGCGTGCCTGCGCGTGTCCACTTTTGTGCGAACCTCGATGCAAATGTCGCAAGGTGTGGAATAGGGAGCTGCCCCCCACGGCGCATTCCTCCCAAGATGCGTACTCTCTCTGGTCCCTTCCAGTGTAACCCCATTTTAATGCTCGCAACCTCCTCCTGCTTTCTGAATGTCATTTCATTTGGAATGTATCTCTCCGCTCTCTCTTTCAGCAATCCTTCACTGGCCTCTGCGCACGCTTCCAGCGCATCGTAATCGCGTTCTGCACCGAGCTCATCAATGATCAACAACCAGAGCTCCAGCGGGAGAGGCCGAAGCACGGCCGTCGGGACTGTCCCTGTGGTAATACTGTGGAAAGTGAGCCCAGCTGATATGCTTTTATGCTGACACCGTCGTGCACCTGCTTGTATCGTTTATTACAGCCCGGGCGTCGAGCAAAGGTCCTGCACGGTCACGAAGTAGGTCCCGAGCAAGGATAACCCCCATCACCATCCTTGTAGGAGGTGTGAGACCATGATACGATCGAGGAGCACCGAAATCAGGGCTTTTGGCCCCACTCACTGATTGCCTCCAGTTTCCATAGTGCCCGCGCTCGGAGAGGAGAGGTCGGAGAGGACTCGGAAAGGCAGTAGGGAAACGCGTAGCAGGTGTGTGGAGCCTCGCTCTCTTTTCAGCTGATATGACAGAGTAACGAGGCGATGCCTGCGTCTCACCTAATCTCCCTAATTACAGTCGTAAACCTAGAATTCCGTTACGATCCTCGATGCGTTCTCGCCTCATTCATCTCCATGTCGCCCTCGCCGCCGTCATCATGCTGTGCAGTTCAGACTGCTGGAAGGAACGCATGTTGAACATGCGCACCGCGTCCGTCCACTGCCTCTTGGTACGGCTCCACCGCTATGTAGAGGTCGTCTCGGGAGAAGCTTTTGATAGGCGCAGACTTCTGCAGCATGCACTGAAGATCGCAATCCAACCTCAGACCAAGAGCGTGCGCTTGTCCTTCTCCGTGGTATCGATACACGCTAGAGATAAGACCTTGCGGTATGTGAACCGCACAAGGCTTGATTAGGTTTTCCGAGCACCTGGGGTCGGGCAATACACACTGAGCAGCTTGGATGACACTCTCACAGTGTGGACGGTGGACCGCCTTTGATCACGTTGACTGAATGTGTTGGCTTCTCAAGGCTCAGGGCCGGCAAGCCTTGCGTTGTACGTAACCGGCCCTTCGCCTGGTACAGGGCCACTCCGTGCTGATGGAGACATCTCGGATAGATGCTGTACAAATGTGATACGCATACAGCCGTTGAACGTAAGTGGAATACAAGTATCGTACGTGAGCATTCTGCCCAGCCACCTATCGCAGGTTGAGGCTCAGGGTGGTCTCGACGTGTCTCCGTGCAAATTGCCCCTCCAGACGCCCTGACACCAGCTCCCCGTGTAGGTACTCCTGCACACCGTATATTTGAATCTACGGAAAACGCAGAAAGGGCCGTCGTCTCTTCGTTCATATTCGCAGAATACGGTGTGTGTCGCGATGTGCCTATGAAGACCGCACAAATCATGTCACTGATACAAGGCCACTCCTCCCCCCCTTCCTTCATTCCCTATTTCGTCTCGAGGGGTGCTCCCTAGGTCCACCATTACGTTTATCGTGCAAGTGACTTCCTGACGGCTTTAAATTCTGCCCAGATGGGACGTGTTATTGTCTGAACGAGACATAGTGGAGCACATCTGCGTCAATGGCAACATGGTGCTGTAGAGGGTGAGCGACATGAAGCGAGCCATTCGCGATGAGTGTTACATTTGTTCACGTTCAGCATCTGGAGTGGACATGCGAGGGATCGGGACTCCCGTGCATAGGAACGGCATAGCACCGCCGTGCGTCCATGATCTGGAAGACTCGCACAGCATTGTACATGCCGGTCGGTAGGATGCGGAGCGGCTAACAGTAGCGCACGAACCGAACCGCACTTGGACAGCAGAGGAAGGCACGAGCAATTACGACAAACCAGCAGAGAAATGACAAGACTACTCCAGCGTTCAACACAGTCATCGACAAGGTCCCCCTAACTTGAGGGTTTTCTCGGGCAGAGTGTGGGGCGTCGAAGGCCGACTCAAATATGACAAGGCGAGACGTACATGCGACGGGCGCTGACGCCAATTGAAGAAGAGTGGGCCTGTCCCACGCCTTCCAGTATGAGTTATCATTGCGTCTTTTGCGTGTATTTATATGTTCAACGTCAATATCACCATCAGATTCCTCCCTCGCTCCGGTGAGGCAGTTGCAGCCTGCAAATAACACCCCGTTGTGTTAGCTCGACGGAATGACAAGCAGAGGTCGCATTATTTTCTTTCCCTGAACGCGCGCCGTCATGTAGCTTGCATCAATCGCACTCTGCTCGCGCTCCGCGATGACGGTGGCTGGCCCCACATTGTGCGAGACATTGCGGATGCTTGTGAGTTCGACAGAGAGCTCGGTCTGGGGCATGATCATAGAAAGCTGCGTCCTAAGACGACTATGAGCGCGAGTATAGTGAAGGGCTGTGGCGCCAGGATCATCCTGTGACCTGGCATACGATGTCTTGATCATCAGTATGTTTCCGTACAACGCGTGTGTTCGAATTGCGATCAACGGCTGTATGCATCCCACAGTCCCACAGGAACAGGTTGAGATATCTCTATTAACATCAGGTGATCATCCATCAGATGAGGATAGTTTACGTACAACGATAGGTCTCCAAGCCTTGAGGCTGGGGAAGCAGACGAGCGCAATCACCATGGGAAAAGGCGGTCCAGAGTCCACACAGTCGAAGACTTATCAACTGCAATCGATATGCATTCTGCAACATCAGGTGCTCGGTCGCGCTAGCCCAGCCTTGTGCGGCTTGCAGACCGCAAATTCTCTGCATTCCGTGGAATCGCCAGCGCTTATCGAGATCACACCCTATCGTTCTCAGGTGAGAGTGCAACCTTCGATGTATGTCGCGGCAGTCAGCGCACGTCAAAACTTCCCTCGGAACATCCTCTATGTAAGTTGCGGAACTGGGCCGGAGGCAGTGGATGAACGCGATGCGCATGTTCAACACGTGTGCTTTCAAAGTGCCTATGCACGGCAAACGCGGGCGATGCGGACTCGGAGATGCATGAGACAGAGGCGCGCCAGTAATCTCGATGGAAGTCTAGGTTGACGATGTAATTGAAGGACACGAAGTGAGACAGGGATCACAGGTATTGCCTCGTTACTCCATATAAAGTGCGAGAGCGAGCCTGTACACATCCGCTATTCATCTTCTTTGCTACGTCTTCAGATCATCCTCAACCTTCTCTCGCCGAGCGGAGGCATGAACAAACGCCTGATAGCGATCAAACAAAAATTCCGCAAGTCGCCTAGAAAATTGAGGGACATGAGGTAGGCCATGGATGCCGAATTCCCGCTCCCAGTGTCGTTGGAGCGAATTACATCTCATACCTTCTACAAGGACGGATCCTGCGCGCCCCGCTAGCTGCCACAGAGGTCCTCCGGCACCTCCACTCCTTGTGGTGGAGGAGAATGCGCTAGGACTCAAGTACGATGGCACGTGCGGTCTCGGTTTCAGATGAATAATACGCTCAGGTAGACGATCTCATGTCCCGTCCCAGCGTTCACTCCGCGTTGATGTCGCCTAGATGTCATCTTCACGAGACACAGACGACCGCATACATTAGAGGACGCCCTGCGGAATGGAGCACGAGATAAGGCCGGACTCATCTGTACGCCCGCACCATTGATGAACCGACTCTGGCGCTGTCTATGAGCATACCGTGATGGACACCACCCTGCAAATGTTTACAAGTATGTGTCACCCATCCTGTCCGTTGTCCTATGCATGTCGGCTCAAGGACACTCCCCACAGGAATATTCACGCGGAGGTTGGCTAAGCATCAGTGCCTCCAGGAGTGGAAATGGAATCTAGGAGGACGCGCCAAGACCACCCTACGATACAAGGCTAAAACGGACGCTCACGTATGATACATGCATGTATTCCAATTACGCACAACGATTGTATGCGTGCCGTAGTCACATAGCATTAAGCTGACCAGCTTCTATCAACACAGGGTGGTCACGTATTAGATCAGGGGTGAGTTGCATACAGCGGAAGGCTTTCAAGCCTTGACACTTATCAGACATTCAGTGGACGTGAGAAATGGTGGTCCACCGTCCGCGATGTGAAAGTTATATCTGTGACGCTTGATGTGCACTGCATAGCACCAGGCGCCCGGGCGAGCTGGTTCAGCCCTATGCGGTTCGCAGACCGCATGGTCCCCGCATTCATTCCTTTCTTCGAAATAGAATCATTGGTATTGCCGGCGTGTATCGTAACTACGAAGAGGGGCGAGCGCACCCGATTGTATAGAATTGAATCGCGACCTTGACTCCATGCCGCGGAAATCTGCTCTTATCAACTCGAGACACCCTGTATATAGGGTTGAGGCAGTACAATAAGGCTGTGGACGGATGTGGTGCGAATGCAGACCGCGCGTTTCTCGCAAGTACTCAGCTGTGATTGTGGTGGAAGTCTGAGTTGACAACTGACACGCAGGCGCCGCCTCGTTCCTCTGTCATATGAGCTGCAAAGAGGACGAGGCTCGACGAGGCTGCACGCGCCTGCTACGCATTTCTCCACTGCGTTCCAAGTCCTCTCCGACCTCCCCTCGCCGAGCACGAGCACTATGGAACACCTCCTGTCGAGGATCACGCCATTACGTCCCAAATCAGAAGGGAATCCATCATTTCAAGAGTCAGTGGTAAGATTGAAGGATTCTGGGGATTCAGATAAAGGAAATGGGGAACTCCAGTAAGTCTGTTCAAAAGCCCCGATCTCTGTGGTCGTCGAGGGAATCATCGTCTTATACCTCCTGCAAGGACAATGGTGGTGCCTATCTTCGTTCGGGACCTACTTCGCGACCGTCCACGGACTCCACTCGACGCCCAGACTACAATGAACGATACAAACAGGTACACAGCGGTGTCTGCACAGAATAATATAAGCTGGACTCACCTTCCACAGTATTACCACAGGCACAGTGCAGTCGGCCATGCGTCGGCCTCTTCCGCTAGAGGTCTGGTTGCTAGTTGTCGATGAGCTCGGTGCAGAATGCGAATACGATGCGCTGGAAGCGTGCGCAAAGGCCAGTGAAGGCTTGCTGAAGGAGAGAGCGGAGAGGTACATTCCAAAGGAGATGACATTCAGGACGCAGGAGGAGATTGCGAGCATCAGTGTGAGGCAGCGCTGGGCGGGACCAACGAAAGTGCGCATCGAGGGGGGAAGGCAGAGTGGAGAGCGGCTTCCGATTCCACACCTGATGACCTTTGCGTCGAGGCTGGCGGGAAAGTGGACCGACGTGAAGCACCTGACGATCGAGAGAGCGGAGTGGCGGGCGCAGGATCTCGATCTGCGTTCCCTCTCGCTCGATTTGGGACGCTGCAACAACATCGGAAACCTCCACCTTTATGATGTTGCGTTCCCCTCGGTCCTGACGTTCTGGCGCCTCGTATGCGCCATCCCAGACCTCCCCATGCTGTTTCTCCGTGACGTCAAGTTCGTGAAGACTGCCATCGACTTGAATGCGCGGACACTCTCAGCCTTCAGCGTACTATGCGCTACCGACATGGACGATATGCCGCGGCTCAATTCACCCGGCGTCGCAGCGCACTCCGCTGAGCTGCTTCAGATGATTGTACCGCAAACCCTGTCATCTATTCAGGCACCTCCATGGAGCAAGGTCGACAGTCTGGACTTGTGGGATGTCACGCTTCCGACAGCTGCTGCCTTTGCACGCTTGCTCTGTGACCTTCCTGCCCTCAATTGGCTCACCATCAACGGGCCATGCACGTTCTCGGAACATGGCTTCAACCCCAGTGATGTCCCTTTGCGCTCGGACATGCTATCGGGGTTGAGAGATGTTTCCTTGGGCAAGGACTTCTCCCTATTCTCTGATCCCCAGTCTGTGCATGACCTCGTCGACATCCTCATTCAATCTGGTGCCTGTCGCGGCCTGTACAAAATCACAGTTTGGCTGTCCCTTTCCTTGCGTGTAGCAACGAGCATAGATGTCTCCCTCAATAGACTCGTCAAGCAGGCTGGTCAATCACTAAGGAATATCTGTCTCGAAGTTCTCCCACAGGGCAACTTCCCGCTGTTCAACAAAGCATCCACACATGCAGCTCTGACCACAGGTGCGCCCCGCAGCATGGCTCTTTAAAGGTTGGCCACAGTAACACATTGTCCCTCTAGCTTGTTGCTTTGATGTCTCGGCGAATACACGTCTCGACCACATCGAATGTTTTGACAAAACTCATGAGGGCAGTTTATCGATTGCTCCTCTAGTGGAGCTCCTTCTTCAGGTTACATCACCAAATGTAGCTTTCATTAAGTTGACCTTTATAGTCGTAGACGATGCAGACCTCGCAAAGTTGTGCTCTGGCCTCTCACATCTTGATGCAGCTCTCCCCCGCTCTTCATTTACCAAGCTTAGATTTGTCGAGATAAACCTTCGTCCCACGAGTGAATCCACAAATATTCCCGAAGCTATGGTGAGGTCATGCTTACCAAAGCTGGATTCACGGTCGCGTCTATAGTGCGTACCTCCATGGCGTCCTCACTGCGGCTCTGACGGAAGTATCTTGTCCATAGCATTCATGTCTCACATATATGTCTTGAATAATGTCACGCGTACAGCCCTTCAAAGTCCTATTATCTGCTTTCTGCGCCGTCCCGTCTTTCGGTGGCATCCCGTCATTCCATCTCGGTACACCTTATCCGCCCACATGCGTCCTGCGATCACCCAGATGCCACGCCTTCAGGACGGCCCAGGACACATACAGTGCTCTCCCTCGAACGCGACCCCAGGCTAATGTTGGCCTCTACCGGTGCCGATTGACATACCTGGTCCATCTTCATTCCTCCGTCGTTTTGTGCAATAGGAGGCTCTGCGGGTCTGGTGCCAGCCATTGACACTCGTCGACCTGAGTGCGATCGGCCAGCGAGACCGTCGGTGGGCTCATGACCTCCCCTTGCGCTAATCTATCTTCACTGTTCAAGGACGTCTCGACACCACTCTCTACGCCCATGCGCGGGTGTGCGTTAATTCGCTTTCCCCTTGCTCCATCCTAGTGGGGGCGAGTTCAACTTTACTTAATCTCGTCAAAGGACGTTCCCGTACTTGAAAGTTTATTTGTCCCTCAGTTCCTCCCAAACGCGAAGCTTGGTGTGGTACCGCTACGGGCACCCGCACGCCCGGCCTGCGCGTTTCACTTACTGCGCTGCTTGTTGATGAGGCACTGCTTGTTCTCTGCTACTCTGCATGTCCTGTACGTACCACTACTCGCTCTCGCTCTCGCTTTTCGTTGTTCAGTGTGTGTAATGTGACTCGCTCCCCCGCTCTACCTGTTGCGCTCGTATGTGTTGTCTACTTTACTCAGCTATCGGTGCCCGTTATCTTGTTGTTTGTGATTGATAGACACCGCTCCCTGGACCATTATATCGTATGTACATATCTGTGGTACGCAATATCGACCCTTTGTCAATCGGGGAAGGTAGGATCAGTTCAGAACGTGCAGGATCAGGACCTGTGATTTTGAGCGTCGCGCAGCTCTAGGCGAGTGAGCAGACGAGGATATTGTGGGAAGTGCTACGCTGGAGCGCAGCGGCATAAACAACATCGAGGAGCGCCGCATCTACGTGTACTATGGCCACGATGACATAAGAGTGTTCGCTGGATCTGACAGAAAACGGTCGACGGCCAGCCGATCCCTCGCGCAGCCGGGAGAGGCCGGGTTAGGTTAGGAGTTCTTCGCGGCGAGCGTTTCGCCTCTTCGTCCTCTTCCTCTACCGTCGCGCGACGCTCGCGACACCCTCGACACTCCTGTCGTTCATTTCTGTTCCCCCCGCCATGCCCCTTTTGCCTGATGTCTGTGTTTTTCTTCTTTTGCGGTCGCATCTGTTGATCCTTTACTTCGAGTCCTTACTGCTGGTTATTTTCTGGCCCCGGCTGCTTCTGTGGTGTAATCTGTATCGCTGTTTTCTCCCTACTCATCCCTTGTGCGTGCGATTCCCGCGTTGAGCTGCCTACTCGTGAGCGAACCGCGCAGCAGGATCCCGCCCTCCCGGCGGCTCCTCTTGCTCCGCGTCCTATCCTGGCTAACGCCAGGGGTTCCCCTTCCACACAGCTCCCGAGTGCACCTTGCGCGGGCACCGCGTTCAGCGCCCCCCTGCGTCGACGAGGCTGGAGGGAGGTTCCCACGCTGTCTTTCGCATGGCGCAACAGGGCGCAACCGCCCACAGCGGCGAACATGCATGCGCCTGCCAGGACGGATATGGTGGCTCCCCCACAAGTTAGCATCGCCCTTTGCCATACTATCCTCGTATATCTTTGAATTCGTCAGCGCGCAGTGGATGCTCTCTTCGACAGCTATTTGGGTATACCCGATCTGTGCTGGGAAGATACTCAGGATGGCTCAGTTGCTCTGTGTGGTTGCTAAGCTTCTCGTTGCGCTCTCGCATCAGACATGTCATTTTACTCAAATCGGATCGTCATGGCCTCGAGAAGAGAACTGCAGATACTCGCAAATACACGCTCCTGATTGGATGAACACTTGCTGGAGGAGCGGGAGAATGGTGAAAAGCCATGCTGAGTGGCTGGAACGAGGTGCGTCTCGATGACATCCTTCGCTTTGCTCCGCTCACTGATAGCCTGCGTTTAAAGGCGAGTAGGATCCTCCGGTTCTTATGCGCGCGGGCGTGCGCAGTCTTGCTCTGTGCGCGGCGCGTGGTGGATCCTTGGCTCAAGACTCCGAGAACGCTTGACGCGCACCCGGCCTCTCTACCGTGGCGTGGGACCATGCAGGCTTTCAGTCGACGGGCATAGTGTCTGAGATTGCGTGGCACCCCGTAGCTCCCGCAGAGGGTCCTCGGTGCGCTGGCAGCTGGCCGACATATTATTGTCTCCATGAATATATCTGGTCACTGGAAAGTGCTTACGGTGTGGCGGGCATCTGCACATCCGTTGTCGTCTGTTCGTTATGGATGCTGGACGCGCTTGGCGTCGTGGTAATGATCCATGGGTTACCCGCCGTCAGCAGGACAGCGGTGACGATGTGGTACACTGAGAGGTCAACGAGCCCATGCCTCCGATGTCTCTAACCTGCTCTCGTGCGGCTTGATTCCGCCTTCCCCATTTCAGTCGTCAACGACCTTTGGCACCCCACCTGAAGAGCTTTGCGGCGCAGTAGCTCCTCCACGAACACTGGGCGCCGATCGCCGATTCATTGTTCCGCTGACTGCTACGCGCACCCAAGTGACTCGTGCCCCCCCCGTATGGCCCCGGAGATTCATGGCAGCTGGCTACGACCGTACGCATCACTCTGTGCTGGACGACAAGGACGGCCCGGAGGTCGGCTCTTATCTATCAGGTGCGAGTGTCCGCTCCGCGGACGTCGCAGAACGCGTTACATCTCCCTTCCAGTCTGCCTGCGATGCCTCGCGCTCTGCCCGAGTGATCTCGAGTTAGGGAACCTCGCAGCAAGTGGCGGACTTTATCTTTCATAAAGTATCGTGGCGCTATTTCAACAAAAGGTCTGGCCGACGCAATAACAAGCAAGGGTCGCATTCTGTCCTTCACTGGGACGCGTGCACCTTCAAGTAGCTTGCGTTAGAAACACTTGGTCAAGCCATGAACCAGGGTCCATCTCAGTTCGCACTTCTTGATGACAACGGTTTCCCCGCTTTGTGTGAGGCATTGCGGACGATTATGAGCTCAACAGAGAGCTTCATCTGGGGGTGATCATGAGGCGCCGCTTCGAAGACACGCTGCACAGAAATATTAGCATCAGGAGCTACGTATCAGGGCGTCTGCGAGCGCAAAGGGAGTGCAGAGAGACGCGCTGAAGCTACCCTGAGCATCAGCTGATATGGGGCTAGACAGCACGCTCTCGTACGACCTGTATTCCAGTTATGCTCAACTACATGTTACGTACAACAGGAAGCTTATGGGTCTTCGCAATGCAGAAGTCGTCTTCAGATGACATTGGTCAGTTCTGCAGAAGTGTTATCGACGACGCTGGATGTGTGTTGCCCAACATACAGTGATCAGATAAGCCGATTCAGTCCTCTGCAGTTCGCGGACCCAAGGCCTTCGCTGCGGTGCATGAGGATCAGGAGCGTCGCCAGCGTGTATCAGTATCACAGAGGACGAGCTCATTCCATTGGTGGAAGATTAGAGCGATCTTCTATGCCATGTTGCGCTAGTTGTGTTCGTCAGACACTTCCCTCCGCAACCTGTATACAAGGTTTGGGGGCACTGAACAGACGTGATGCGCATGTTCAGCACGTGTCCTCAGCTTCCTGGACCGCGCAGTGCGATGAGACGCCAGCGAAGGCGATGTAGAGATGAGGCACCGGTGATCGGAGTGGAAGTATGAGTTGAGGATTATGTTGATGGACACGATGTGGGCCGCAGGGACCGAGAGCACCGGCTTTATAACTATGTCAAATCTTCTGCAAGGAGGACGAGGCTGTGCGACTCTATCACGTCCTTTTCCTTCCCTCCTTGTCGAATACTCCTTGACGTCCTCTCGCGGAGCAGGACACGATAGACGGCCTGCAGCAATCAGCAAATCGCTCTGGACGTCGCGGAAGATATCAAGAGACATAGCGTGGGTCAGGGGAACAGAATTGTCCGCTCCTGTGTTCCTGAGGCAAACCATCATCTCATGTTTTCTACAGGGACGGCGGTACTGCCTTTGTTCTGTACCCACGTCGCGATTATTCAAGGCCTGCCAGATCTCTACTCGAGAGTCAACATCGGGGCTGCAATTAACAATAAAGCCAGGTGCATGGCAAGATCATCATACAGAAATGTCAGCTGCGCTTACCTAACTTACCTTGGACAGTACAATCACAGGCATAGTCCAAATAGCCATGCTCCGGACTCTTCCGCTGGAGATCTGGTTGCAGATCATCGAGGAGGCCGGTGCAGCAGGCGAATACGATGCGCTGGAAGCGTGCGCAAAGGCCAACCGTGGAGGCTTGCTGGAGGAGAGAGCGCAGAGGTGCATTCCAGACGAAATGACATTTAGGACGCAGGAGGACGTGGCAAGCATCAATATGAGGCAGCGCTGGAAGGGTCCAAAGGAAGTACGCATCGAAGGAGGGAGGCAGAGCGGTGAGCGGCGTCCCATTCCACACCTGGCGACATTCGCATCGAGGCTCGCAGGAAAGTGGACTAATGTCAAAGAGCTGACAATCGAGAGGGCGGAGTGGCGGGTCCATGATCTCGTTCTGCCTTCCCTCATACTCGATTTGGCCTGCCTCGGCATCGAACATCTTCGCCTCTATGACATCACCTTCCCAACGATCCTGACGTTTTGGCGCCTCGTCTGCGGCCTCCCAAACCTAGATACGCTTGGCCTCTGTGATGTCAAGTTCATGAAGGTCGAAGCCCCTGCGCTCTCGGCCTTGCGCCGTTCAAGTTCTGTGAATCCCTCCTCATTGCATCTCGGTGAACTCGACACCGAGCGACCTAGATCACCGACAACGTGCTCCGCTGTGCTGCTAGCGCAGACCATGACATGCTTCAAGAAACCTTCATGGGAACGTCTCTCCAGACTGCGTTTCCAGGATGTCAAGCTTCCGGCTGCTGCTGTCTTTGGACGCCTACTTGGCGCCCTTCCCGCCCTCCAACATCTCACCATCGACGGGCCATGCACTTTCTCGCAACAGGGCTTCGACCTTGCAGAGAGCGCTGTTCACCCTGAAACTACATCACAAATATGTACGCTCGAGCTGGGCAAGGACTTCTCGTTGTGCTCTGATGCCCAGTCTGTGCATCACCTCGTCGACATCCTCATCCAATCTGGTGCCATTCGCCGCCTGGGGTTCATCAAAGCTTGCTTGTCCCCGTCCTTGCATGTACCAACAAGCATAGATGTCGCTCTCAATAGACTTGTCACGCATGCTGGCGAGTCACTGAGAGAATTGACCCTCCAGGTACTCCCGCTGGACAGTATACCACTGTTCAAAGAAGCATACGTGTATGGAGCTCCGAGTACAGGTGCGCCCCGAAACATGGTTCTCGCCAGCGTCCCACAGTAACATATCGTCTCTCTAGCCTGTTGCTTTGATCTTTCGGCGAATACTCATCTCTTACGCCTTGTTTTCAACGTCGAAATTACCAATGAGGACAGTCCATCGGTTGTTCCTCTACTGGGGATTCTTCATCACGTCACATCAGTACACATGCTCGAACTGTTCTTTCATGTCGTGGTGAATGCAGACGTCGCAAAGCTGCAAACTGACCTTTCACTGCTCGATGCACCTCTCTTCGGAGAGGACTTCACAAGGCTGCAAGTGGAGATCAGACTTCCATACAGAAATAAATCTATGAACAGTGCAATAGCTACGGTCAGGTCGTGGTTTCCGAATTTACGTGCACGGCATGTTTTGTAGTGCGTACTCTTATGACATCCTCGGTGGTGTTTTGACACACATGTCTTGCTTATAGTGCTGCTGCGGAAAATCTATCAGGTAAATGCGCACGAAGCTCGGATTGGTAAAACCATCACTGACGACCGATGTCCGCAGGTAAATGGCGCCAGTTCTAGGCGTTCATTGCTCATGCTAGGCGGCGAAGGGCCTATCCACCGAAGTGCAATCCCACTGTATTCTGCATATACGTCCGGCAAACCCTCGCGCGTAAATCATTCAGATTTCTTCTCTACACTTATACCTTTTAACGGCATCGTCTGGCTCTATCGATCTCAACATACCATCCAACATTTGCACATGCCTGCTGCGGACAACCCAGACGCCACACCCTCAACACGCACCGGCGCCCACGCACCTTCCTTCTCAAATGCAACGCAAGCGAACATTAATGTTTAAAATTGCATCAATGACACACCTCATCCGTCACTGTCGGTCAGTCAGCGTCTTATGCGGTAGGGTCTGACACTGATTACCTGGTCGTCCTTGCTCTGAGCCTGAGCGTGGTCGGCCAGCGAGACAGTCGATGTGCTCATGACCTCTACTCACGCTGCTCGATCTTCGCTGTCCAAGAATGTCTCGATCCACCGTGTTAGGCGCACCCTACGTCGTCCGCGACGACACCATCCTGCCAAAGTATGACCCAGGGTGTACGCCAGCCCGATCCGCCCTCGCTCCATCCTACACTAGTGAAGGAACGTTTGATTTTGCCACAGAGCGATCTTATGCTCGTATGTTTTTCCGACCTGCAGATCCGCTCAGCGTCGATCCTTGATGTAGCTATCGCTATCATCGCGTGTATGACCAGATTACGCGCGATATGATGTCTGCTCGTTGCTGTGCTGTTGCTACTGTGGTTTTTCTTGTTCTCTGCTGGTACGCTCTGTAGGTGGTACTACCGTCTCGCTATTGCTATTTGTCCGTCTTCCGCTCTCACGTTCTATGTGTACTACAAACAGCTTCCGCGCTCTACTCGTCTCGCTTGGATGTATCATTTGCTCTGCCCAGCTATCAATGCTTGCTATCTCGTTGCTTTTACATGACAGACGCTGCTCATCGAGCCATTGAGTTGTAGTTGTATATCTGTCACAGGTAATCCTGACCACCTGTCTAGCGGTAAAAGTGGACTCCGAACGTGCAGCGCCGACCATAATTCACGATCCCAGGCATCATGCATATTTGAGTGAGTGAGGAAATGGGGGCGTCGTGTAAGGTGGAATTGTGATGCTTGGGATGCACTGGCGGAGACGCGGTCGAGGGAGAAGGCTGCGTCTTCGCATGCTCGGGCTATAACAATGCAAAATACGGGTGGCAGAGTAGCTGCTTGCAACCGCATCGAGTGATACAGCTGCGACCTCCGATTAGAGGACGTAAAGTCAAGATCATGATTGACACACAGTGCTGCACATCCGGAGCCTGAACCCCGCCGAGCAGGTGAGTGTATCGCCAGTCCCTGTGGCAGCATCATATGTCTGTGAATCGGTCGAATCGTCAACAAGACGGACCATGCACAATGGTCGGTTGCGCATCCACGCATACAATTTCGCCTCCGAACATCTCTCAGAGGACGGAAAATACCACATCGTATTCTATACACGCACTTCACCACTTCGCCGGCTGATACGTAAACATCCGGACTATCTCCCCTCATCTAGCACAACGCTCGGCAGGCGGGCACGCACAGGTTCATGCTCACACACCGAGATCGCGGCCCCCTTGACGTATCCAGTCCAGGTGCCGAACGTAGAAAATGCTACGGCTACTCATCCGCTGTCTTCAGGATCTGGGCATCTAGATGGTGATCAGTTCAACAGAGTGAGAGTCGATATTTGCAGATCGAATTCAAGACAAAGAAGTCTCCGCGGCACGTACACCCAATCAACGGTTCGCGATCGCACCCGATTGGCGTAGGGCATTGTATTCTAAGTCTTATAGCCTTTGTGTAAGAAACGGTAAGCATAGAAGAGTAGAGGACGTGGATCGGAAGCTCCAGGTGGAAGACTCCTCATGCGTGTGGCCGGCTCCGGGACGCGATGGAGGTGAGCATTGAGACTCGATACGTACATCTGCCAGTCCTTGCTCCGCGAGCTTACGCGCGTGTGACATGAGAAGGACTCTGCCGCTAGGCCGCCTTCGACGCACGCAGGGGTCACCGGGTTCTGCATTCTGTAGCGCCGTCAACAGCTTCTGTATTCTGACTGGAAGCACGCGCGTACCTGCCTCTTTTCCTGTCTTGTTTCGTTAGCTATGTTTGTCGATCTGCCGCCTGATAGCTGACAACAAATTGTCGACAGCTTCAGCATGGAGCGCGAGTGCGACACTCTGCTTAGTCGGAGACCATCCACATAGTATCAAGAGGCATCTGGCCAAGCAGGAACAAGTAGGGTGCCCAGAGCATGACGCATGATGCATGAAGGACGAGAATCACAATCACTGTTTGACGCGCACGATCGTCAACGAGCGCCCGGCGGTCCTCGCGGCCTCCTTATGACGACGGATATGCTTGCGCCTTCCAGAACTGGCACGAATGCGGTTGCTCCCCCTCGACCTCGGCGAGGCAGTCCTCACGGGCCTTTGAATGCGTCAACAGGCGCCTTCCGCTGACCTACCTATCTTTATGCCGCAGGGGAATGCGCGGGACCAGGACCCATGAGAGCGTTGCGCAGTCCCATGCGAGTGAGCGGACGGGGATATTGTAGGGGGTGCTGCGCATGGAGCGCAGCGGGAACAACAACGTCGAGGGCTACGTGTACTCTGGCCACGACGATGCAAGAGACGGGCAGCGAGATAGCTGCGTTCGAACGCGTGCAGCAGCTTCGCTCGAGGTGCTCTACGTCAGGATCAGGTGCCCCACAATGGTGCTGTCCGTGTAGCGTCCGTTCTTCATCCGAAGACCCAATCCGGACAGATAGCCCCGCACGACGACGGCGGAGCTGTACAGAGCGGTGGAGCTGGAGATTGGGGTGGCGCGCCGAATCGCAAGTCGTTCTGCCGGGCACAAAGGTCTGGCGTGCGTGGTCGGTTGTTGTCACGGCGTCTGCCATGCTCACGAGCTGGTCAAGTCACCGACACTGCTTGCGCACCCTCACGCCGTGCGACCGGATAGCCCATGATCGACGGAAATCCCGATAAAATAGTCACAAGCATGTGTCATCCGACGTAGGGCACCGACGGACATCAAACTAGGTTATAAAAATAAGATTAGAAATGAGAACGTTGTCGACATGACGAGGGTAATCGTGCACCAGAGTCAGCCTCGGAAGCGTGGCCGATACAGACCATTGGCGTATATAAGGTCCCACGCGAACATTTTTCGCAGGATGAAAGGATCCGTGAGAATTTCGTACCTGCAGGTCGGCACTGCGTGCTGTTAGACCCATTCCATCTCCCCTGACTCGCTGCGTCGTGGCACACCACATCGCTCGGCAGGCCGGCGCACACCATCCCACGCCTGCGAATATGCACATATTGCTGTGCGGACCTCGTGCGCGCAATGGCGCCGCAATGTCAGCCTTGCATACGGCATTCCCGGTTCCACTCGGGGAACTGGGCATGAAAGACGCGCCGTGGTGCCCTTGTTCTAGTCAGGCATGCGCAGCTAGAAACGGGACGGTTCTGCAGAGGCCAAATCAAGACCGCCGCAGACGACATCCACGGTGGCGATGCGGTGCAGTCCACAGAATGTCTCCGCGCGATTACAGGGCCGTCCGCGATGCGAAGGGTGGAAGGGAAGAGGACTAGGCAACTTATGGTCCGGAAACTCCAGTTCGAAGTGGCACGGTGTCCGATACAGTGAAGGTAGTCGTTGTGGCAGCTCTAAGAGCGGTGCAGTGGGTGTCGCGTCGAATCAATCGTACGTCAGCAGCAAGAGTGTAGAGCAGAACACAGGCGAGAGGCTGGCGGTGCATGGGTCCACTGCGCGATGACGTCGCGTTCGTTTGCTATATTCGCCGATCGTCAAACAAGTAACCAGGAGAGTGCCCAGAGTATGACGCATGACGCATGACGTACATCGGTCATGGCTGTCAGCAAGCGCCCAGCGATCCTTGCAGCCTTGCGCTTTCCACCACTGCCACCAATGCGGTGACCTCTGCGAAACAGTCCTCACAAGCCTTTGGATACGTCAACGGGCGCTTTTCGCTGGCCATATTCACGTTTACCGCGCAGGGAGCTCAGGACTGACAAAGTCACTTCCGATCCATCTTATGACGACGTGCAATATTGACTGGCCCTTTTATCCTGTTGAGGAGCTAATCGAGCTTCAATCTCGAACTCGTCTTGTCTTCTCGTGCTCTCGGTACTCAGTCTCGTGGACGTGGACATCTAAGCCGCCCAGAAGGACTGGACTTTACCGATTGCACGGTGTGGCAACGAACAAGCGGATTAGGACTACTTGCGCTCACTGACATGCTACATCAATGACCGTCGCAAAAGCCAAGGGATGGAGTCTTGTGCTGACGGGCAACAACATGATGCGTCTCGGCTGTGTCTACTTCGACATGTAGAATCTGTATTGTCCACTATGCGCGACGCGTAAGCCATGCTCGCCTGTGTGGAGATAGTCTTCCCTGACATACATGAGGAATAAAACTCGCAATGGAGGACTTGCCCTTGCTCGCTTCCATTGACTCACATGTGCGTCGGAATGTAAAGCAGTCCAATCTTAACCTCAACAACTCCCAAAGGATGGGCGAAATCGACATCACGAAAATCGCTGAGGGATACAAGACGGGACTCACCCGCCGGACCGTGTGAGCTGTGTCGCTATTGGCCTGAAACCACGTTCGTCAACCAGACAAGGAGGTTCCTGGTGGGCATAATATAAGGCCCATATGCAATTCCAACACCTCTGCTACAGGGAGGTACAACCGCGAAGCTTGCCAGGCATCCACCCACGATATGTATGCGGTCGCACGGTGAGTATCTAATATATGCGGCATGTGGTAGGCCCCGCATCCCGAGTCACGGACCCACGAGAGAATTCGGGTGAGCTCTCTCGCAGTTCAAGCACCCTAGAAACCATGCAGTTGATAGCTGTCGTTTAGGTTCCACTCCATGCCCTCGTTATATGTACGGCTGGGCGTACTCGAGTTTTGGAGCGGACTTGCCTTCCCCTTGACGATGGCCGTCTTGTCTGCGACACAATCTCCGATGTTGCATGGCGAGCCACGCTCCTGATGTCGTGTAAGGCAGGCGCTGGAGGGTGCCCCACTGGCATCTACTTTCCCGCAGCTGTCTACCCAGTCTGGGCGCTGGACATTGCGACCCTTCACCATTCGACGATGCGGGGCCTATCAAAGATTTACCTAATGTAACCGCGACCGACGATGCGAAGGTATAAGCTGGGCCTGAAGACCCGATGCAGCCCTCTCTCCTCCAGTCGCCAACAAGATCGAAGTTTGCGTTTGCATATCGCACCAGGAAATTCGCTGCGCGTTCCTCCGTCAGAATTCCTGGCTGCGCTCTGTCTAATCGACTCACCACACAAACGCTGAGCCTTGACGCCGAACAGCCTCTCACCGCCGCAGTGCACCGTCGTCTTCCCTTGGTACGACGACGATCCATATGTCGAACAGCAGGTTCTCCGTCTGTCGACTACTGCCGGGTTCACATCCATCGGAAGCTCACTTGGACCTCGGCTCAGCTTCCTCATGAAATTGTCCTTCAATGCCTTCTCGGCTCATGTCCATTCTTTTATGTGCGCGTCGCCGGGTGGCCTATCCCGAGAAGACCCCAATGAGCCACGGCCCGGAATACACATCGACGACACTGACGGTCGCGAAGCCGGCTGTTATTGATATGGCGTCTGTGTTTGCTCGTGCATATGTCTATTGCATGATGGGCCACTGTATGTGTATGGTGAGAGTGTGCAGGTCACGGTCCGGCCTCATCCTCTGCCAGAGGGACTCGGTGTGAGTGCGTCAGGCTATACTATCCACTTACCCGCCTTGCCTTATGTTCCGCTGCTGTTGGCGTGCGACTCGACACATAAAACAGCTCAGCATTCGTCACCTGAAGATCTTGACTGTCCGCCCTTGTACGAGACGATGCGGACGCTCGTCAACTCAACAGAGAGCTCGATTGGCGCGATAAGCACACTGTATGTGGTCTGATGTGTCTCGTTGCCTCTTCCAGACAATCTCATGTCCCGTCCCAGTGTTGACTCCGGGTTGATGTGACTGAGATGTCGTCTTCAGGAGACATAGACGATCGCATACATTATAGGAGTCCCTGCGGAATAGAACGCGGGATAAGGCCGGGTTTACGAGTGCGCCCGCGCCGTTGATGAAACGACTCGAGTGCTGTCTGAAGTCACACCGTGATGGGCACCGCCCTGCGAATGTCAACGAACACATGACGTCCATTATGTCTGAGATTCTATGAGAAGACACGCCTCACAAGAATATCTACGCGGGGAGCTATGCATTAGGGCGTGCAAATGGAGTCTACGGAGACGCGCCAGGCCTGCAGCACACGGCTACACAGGCTGTTCACGTAGGATACTTGTATCCCAATTACGCGCAACGGCTGCATGCGTGCCGTAGTCACACAGCATCCAGCCAAAATGCTTCCATCAACACAGGATGGCTACGTATCAGATGAGGGACGGGTTGCGTACACCAGAAGGCTCTCAGGCCCTGACATCGAAGAAGTCAATACATCCAAGGGACATGAGGAAGATTGATCCACCGCTCGCACTGCAGAGGTGATATTCACGATGCTTGACGTGCACTGCACAATACCAGGCGCCCGGATGACCTGGTTTAGCCCTGGGCTGTTCGTAGATCCCAAGGCCTTCGTATCGATTCCCTGCATCAGTGGGGGATCACCAGTATCTCCAGCGTGTATTGATACCATGGAGGAGGGCAAGCGCGGCCTATTGATCTGGAGTTAGATCGCGACCTTCAATGCATACCGCAGCAGCCTTCTATGCTCATCAAAGGCTTTCGTTGAGAGGCTCTATATATGAGGTTTGAAACTGCACTGAGAAATAGTAGACGGACGGGATGCGCATGTTGAGTGCGCGTCCTTTCCAGCCGCCTGAACCGCACAGTGCGGTGAGACGGTGGCGAGGGCAACGCGGAGATCAACGAGGCAGAGACGCATCGGGGAGATTGCAATTGTGTTCTGAGTTGACGACTATATTATAGGAAGCGAGGCGGGACAGAAGGATCAATGACACAGCCTCATTGCTTCGTTATATAATCCGCAAAGGGGACGAGGCTGCGCACGCCTGCTACACCCCTTCCATCCTGCCTTTTCAAGTTCTCTTCGACCTGCTCTTGTCGAGCGTGCGAACTATAGAACGCCTGACAGCGATTAAACCATCATCTCGAAAGTCGCGAGAGAGATCGAGGGATAGAACATTTCGAGAATCGAGAAAACTATTGAAGGCTCTGAGGACTCCGAAGGAGCAATTCAATATCAAAAAAGTAAGTGTGTTGGGCCAAAAGCCCCGATTTCTGTGCTCCTCGAGCGAATCATTGTCTCATACCTCCTGCAAGGACGATTGTTCGGGACCTACGTCGCAACCGTCGAAGGCCTGCGCTGGACTCCGAGGCTGCAATGGACAACACAACAAGGTGCATTTCCACTTGACCACGCAGAAATGTCCGTTGCACTTATTTTCGACAGTACTACCGCAGACATAGTCTCGACAACCATACTGCTCCCGGTGGAGATCTGGCTGCAGATCATCGATGAGCTCTGTGCAGAACACGAATACGATGCGTTGCACGCGTGCGCATATGCCAGTGAAGGCTTGCTGAGGAGGAGAGCGGAGAGGGCCATTCCAGAGGAAATGACATTTAGGACGCAGGAAGAGGTTGCAAGGATCAAGGTGAGGCAGCACTGGGAGGGACCATGGCACGTGCGCACCGAGGGAGGAAGGCGTCGTGGAGAGCGGCTTCCGATTCCACACTTGGCCACGCTCGCATCAAGGCTCGCACAAAAATGGACAAACGTGCAGCAGCTGACGATCGAGAGAGCGGAGTGGCGGGCGCAGGGTCTCGATCTGCCCACCCTCTTGCTCGATTTGGGCTGCTTGAGCCAGATCTGCCACCTCAACCTTGACGACGTCACGTTCCCTTCGGCCCTGACGTTTTGGCGCCTCGTGTGCACCTTGCCTCACCTGAGGTGGCTTTACCTCCGTGACGTCACGTTCGTGAAGACTGCCATCGGTGGCCGGGCATTCTCGGCCTTTCGCCTGCTGTCCGCTACCAACCTGGAGCACGTGTGGCTGTGGTCTGACCGTCGCCCTGGATCACGCGCAACGGACTCGGCTGGGCTGCTTCAGGTGATTTCAGCGCAGCCCGTGCTATCTCTCAGGGCACCTCCATGGAGCAAGGTCTGGTCTTTGGAATTGTGGGATGTCACGCTTCCGACGGCTGCTGCCTTTGCACGCTTGCTTTACGCTCTTCCCGACCTCCAACTGCTCGTCATCCATGGGCCATGTACATTTTCAGACCATGGCTTCACCCCCACCGATGTCCCGCCGCACCCTGGCATGCCATCGGGATTCAGAACTATAGAGCTGGGCAAGAACTTCTCCCTATGCTCTGATCCCCAGTCCGTGCATGACCTCGTCGACATCCTCATCCGATCTGGTGCCAGTCGCCGCCTGGAAAAGATCACTGCTTGGCTGTCCCCGTCCTTGCGTGTACCCACAAGCATAGATGTCGCTCTCAATAGACTCGTCAAGCATGCTGGACAATCACTAAAGTGGCTTGAACTCATGGCGCTCCCGCAGGAGAACTTACCGCTTTTCTATGAAGCCTCCGCATATGCAGCTCCGAGCATAGGTGCGCCCCGTAGCATGGTCCTTGTAAAGTTACTCACACTCAGACACCGTCCCTCTAGCCAATTGCTTCGATGTTTTGGCGAATACACATCTCTCGTACCTTCTCTGTTCAGTCGAGATCACCCGTGAGGGCAGTTCATCGATCTCTCCTCTACTAGACCTTCTTCACCAGATTACATTAACAATCTCTCATCACATGGAATTGCGTCTTCGTCTCACGGATGATGCGGACCTTGCAACGTTGTGGGCTGACCTCCCATACCTGGACGCCGCTCTCACCCAAACTTCATTTGACAAGCTTGCAGGTGTCTGGATAACCTTTCATCCTGCGAATGAATCCACAAGTATTCCCAGAGCCATGGTATCATCATGCCTACCACAGCTGGATGCACGGTCCCTTTTGGGGTGCGTACCTTTCTTGCGTCCTCACTGCGGCTCTGATGGATGCGTCTTGTCCATAGCATTGATGTGAGACATCCATCAGGTACAATTTAGACCGAGCTTGAATCAGTAAAACGATATCTGATGACCGGTGTTGTAGGTAAAACGCACAATTTCTAGGCGTCCCCCGCGGCACTGTGCGCAGAGAAAGGCGCCTTTCACCAAATCACAACTCTTCCACATTCGTAAAACGTCTCACAAATTCTCACACGTACATTCCTACAAGTTTCTGACTTCTCCCTTTCCCCGGTTGCGTCGTTCAACGGCACTTCATCGTCCTCATCCATCTTGATACCATCCCATCTGTGCACATGCGTCCTGCGGTCACCGGGATGCTACGCCTTCAGGACGCCCAGCACACCTACATTGGCTTCTTCAGGCGCGACCCCGGGAAAAGAACGTCGGCCTCCACCGGTGCCGATTTATAAACTTGGTTCATCTTCCATCACTCCAGCGTTCTTGCGACAGCGGCAGGCTCGGTGGGGTCGACGCTGGCCCTTGGCCCCCTTCGTTCCGAATGCGATCAGCCGTCGAGACCCTACACTGCTCGTTCTAAGCCTTCGCTGACCGGCGGTGCTTCGAGCTCCACTTCTACGCGCATGCACGCGCCTCGCATTACCCGTGAAGATACCATCCTGCAGATGTATAGCCCTGGGTTTGCGCCAATTCGGTCTGCTCTCGCTCCATCCTGCCCTGGTGGGACAGAGTTAAATTCTGGTGAACCACGCCAAGGAACGTCCCCCCTTTCGTTTGTGTTCCTTCGGACCGTAGTGGCTTCAAACGCAATCCTCGATGTAGCGCCCGCTCTGGACGCCCCTACGGCCGGACTGCACCGATGTCGATTTTCCTCTCCATTGCTATCTTCTTGGTTTCCATGATACTGCTCGTCCTCTGCTTTGTGTGCTCTGTACATACTGTTACCCGCTCTCTCTGTTCCTTTCTGTCCATCTGCTCTGCTCCTTCGGTCTGCTACTATCGCGATACATGTGTGCCGTAGCTCATTGCTCCGCTCCGCCCATCGTGTTCCGTACGTACTATCACTTGCGCTCTGCTGCTATTTGTCGTATATCTGCTCTACTCCTTCGGTCTGTCACTATCGCGTACTGCGATTCGTTCTCCCGTTCTGCTCGTCACGCCCGGATTGCCTTCCCGCAGATATCTACTTGGTGTGGACGTTGTACACCGCGGCCCTTCACCATTCAACTACGCGGGGCCTATCAAAAATCCACCTATTTTCACCCTGGTTGATGCGTCGATGCGAAGATATGAACTATGCCCTGATACCGCCCTTACCCGTGACCCCTCCAGCAACAAGAGAGAAGTTCGCATTCGCATCTCGCACAAATAACCTCGCCGCCCGTTCGTCTGTCAGAGTTACAGGTCACACTATCTAATCCACTCACTACACAAACGCTGAGCGCTGACGCCGAACTGCCTCTCACCGCCTCGGCGCTTGTTCGTCCTCCTTTGGTGCAGCGATTATCCAATGTCGAACCTCATGTTCTCCGTCTATCGAGTTCTTTAAGTCATCGGAAGCTCACTCGAACATCAGCTCAGCTTCCTTATGGAATTTCTTCTCAGTCCCTCCCTCGGCTCATGTCTATCCTCTTATATGCGCGTGTCGAGTGTCTTGTCCTGCGAATACCCAATGAGCCCCAGCACAGACAACGTTGATAGCCGCAGAGTCGGCTCTTGTCCGTCTGGTATTGGCGATCGCTCTAGTCCATTGCATGATGAGTCTTTCTCTATCAAAGTGCGCAGACCATCGTTCATCGCTTCACTTTCCGCCTGCCCTCTGGTCGAATGGACTGTGTGGCAAGTGCATCAATGGGCGTACTGCACACTCCGCGCCTTTGGTAACTCTTCTCCCGCTGTTAAACTCAACGAAGAGCTCGATTACGTCTCATTCAGACGATCTCATGTCCCGTCCCAGCGTTCACTTCGGGTTGATGTCGCCTTGATGTCATCTTCACAAGACAGATGACCGTGCACATTAGAGGACGCCCTGCGGAATGGAACACGGGATTGATATAAGCTCACGGGTGCGCTCGCGCCGTTGATGGACTTGCTCGGGCGTTATCTATGGGCACACCGTGATGGACACTGCCATACAAGTGTTTAGGAGTATATGATGCCCATCCTCTCTGTTTTCCTATATATGTCCGCTCAAAGACACGCCTCACAGGAATTTCTACGCGGGGGTTGGGCTAAGCATCATTGCCTCCAGGAGTGTAAACGGAATCTAAGGAGACGCGCCATGACCACCCCCTACGATACACGGCTGGAAAGGACGCTGACGTAGGATACTTGTATTCCGATTACGCACAAAGACTGTATGCGTGCCGTAGTCACATAGCATCCAGCTGACGAGCTTCTATCAACACACGGTGGTCACGTATTAGATCAGGGCGAGTTGCATACAACAGAGCGGTCCACCGTCAGCAATTGGGTATCTATGATGCATGATGTGCACTACATAGCACCAGGCGTCCGGACGAGCTGGCTCAGCCTTGTGCGGTTCGCAGACCGCAAGGCCTTTGCATTCCTTTCCTGAATTAGAGCGAAATTATTGGAATCTCCGGCGTGTATCGAAACTACGGAGACAGGCGAGCGCACCCGATTGGTATGAATCGCGACCTTGACTCCATGCCGCGGAAGTCTGCGCTTATCAAAGGTGTCTCTCGAGGCACCCTGTATATAGGGTTTGGGGCAGCACCGGGAGGCTATGGGCGGATGCAATGCGCACGTTGAACATGTGCCCTTTCCAGCTTCCCGGATGGTGCGATGAGACGTCAACGAGCTTGGCGATACGGAGATGGATGAGGCATCGGTGATGGGAATCAAAGTCTGAGTTGACGACTATATGGAAGGACACAAGATGGGACACAGGCACTGCCACGTTACTCCGTCACATAAAGAAGGCGAGGCTGCGCATACTTGCAACGCATTCCCTACTGTCTTTCCGGGTCCTCTCCGCCCCCCGCCGAGCGTGGGCACGATAGGACGCATGTCAGCGATCACACCATCATCCCACATGTCGGAGGAACATCAATCATTTCGAGGGTTGTTGGCAGTAATGGTGAACTCTGTGGATTCAGGAAATGTAACTGAAGGACATCAGTGAGTCAGGGAAAAAACCCCGATTTCTGTGCTCTCCGAGCGCATCATCATCTCATACCTCCTACAAGGACGGCGGTGGTGCCTATCTTCGTTCGAGACCTACTTCTCGACCGTCCACGGCCTCCACTAGACGGCGAGGCTGCAATGGACAATACAGACAGGTGCATGGCGGTGTCAGCATAGGGAAATGTCAGTTGGACTCACCTTCCACAGTATTACCACAGGCATAGTGCCGACGGCCATGCTTCGACGTCTCCCGCTGGAGGTCTGGTTGCTGGTTATCGATGCGCTCGGTGCAGAGGGCGAATACGACGCGTTGGAAGCGTTTGCAGAGGCCAGTGAAGGCTTGCTGAAGGAGAGATCGGAGAGGTACATTCCAGAGAAGATGACATTTAGGACGAAGGAGGGGGTTGCGAGCATCAATCTGAGGCAGCGCTGGGCGGGACCAAAGAAAGTGCGCATCTTGGGAGAAAACCGCAGTGGTAAGATTCCACACTTGGCGACCTTTGCATCGAGGCTCGCAGGAAAGTGGACGAACATGGAGCAGCTGGAGATTAAAAGAGCCGAGTGGCCTGTGCACGATTTCGATCTGCGCTCCCTCTTGCTCGATTTGGCCTGTTTCGACATCGAATACCTCGTCCTATGGGACGTCACGTTCCCTACCGTCCTGACATTTTGGCGCCTCGTCTGCACCTTCCCTAGGTGTATTTTCCTCCGTGACGTCAGGTTCGCGAAGACTGCCATTGATGCGCGGACGTTGTCGGCCTTGCGCTTGTCGTCCGCTTCCAAGCTGTTCCTTGTTGTCCTGCCCGAACAGTCCGACATGGATCGACGCAGGTCACTCGCAACGCACACCGCTGGACTGCTTGAGATGATTCTAGCGCAGACACAGGCCTCTCCGTCTCCATGGAGCAATATCACAGCTCTGACTCTCATCGACGTCATCCTTCCTACGGCTGCTACCTTTGGCCGCTTGCTTTGCGCCTTTCCCGCCCTCAAGCGCCTCAAAATCGTGAGGCATTTCATGTTCTCGGAACATGGCTTCAACCTCAGTGATGTCCCTATGCTATCCAAATTGACAAAGATTGAGTTGGACGAAGACTTCTCGTTGTGGTCTGATCCCCAGTCGGTGCATGACCTCGTCGACCTCCTCATTCAATCTGGTGCCAGTCGCCGCCTGGAAGGCATCGATGTTTGGCTGTCCCCGTCCTCGCGTGGAGGAACGAGCATAGATATCGCTCTCAATAGACTCGTCACGCATGCTGTCCAATCACTCAAGTATCTTAGACTCAACGAACTCGTGCAAGACAAATTACCGCTGTTCAACGAAGCATCCACATATGCAGCTCCGAGCACAGGTGCGCCCCGTAACATGATCCTTGCCAGGTTACCCCCACAGTAACACATCGGACCTCTAGCTTGTTGCTTTAATATTTCGGCGAATACACATCTCAAACACCTTGTTGTTCAGGTCGAGATCACTCATGAGGGTGGTTCACCGCTTGCTCTTCTATTGCAGCTTCTTCACCAGGTCACATTAGCACACATTTCTAACATCGATTTGCTCTTCATTTTTACGGACAAGGCAGACCTCGCAAAGTTGTGGGCTGACCTCCGCCATCTCGATGCCGCTCTCTCCAAAACTTCATTCAAAACACTTCGAGAGGTGGAAATGGTATTTTGTCCTGAGAATGAATTCACAGATCTTCCCGAAGCTTTGGTGGAGTCATGCTTACCAAAGCTGGATGCACGGCGTATTCTGCGGTGCGTACCTTCGTGACGTCGTCGCTGCGGCTCTGACGGATGTGGCTTGTTCATAGCATTCGTGTGGATCGTCCATCAGGTACAATGAATATCGAGCTGGATTGGTGAGGTGATCACTGACGACCGGTGTCTGCAGATGAAGATGAAGACGAAGAAGACGAGTTCTATAAGTTCCTCGCTCGCGCTGGGCGCGGAGAAAGGCCCCTTTCACTAAATTCCAATTCTACTACATTCATGCATTATCCAACACATACGTCTTGAAGGCTTCCGCGCGTACACCCTTGCAAATCCCCGACATCGACCTTTTGTGCCGTTACGTCGTGTGACGGCATCTCGTCGTTCCTTCCATCTCAACCTACGCACATACAGCGTCTTCAGGCGCAACTCCGGCGAAGTGTGGCCTCTATCCATCGTCGTAATTCCGTCATTCCTTGCGACAGGAGGGCAGACAGGTCTGATGCTGGCCGTTTGACCCTTTGTGCCCTGAGCGCGATCCTCCATCGAGACTGTCGACGCGTTCATGACCTACCCTGGGCTGCTCCTTCGCTGGCCAACAATGCTTCGGACTCCCTCTCCACGTGCGTGCGCGTGCCTCGCATCGTCCGTAATGATACCATTGTGCCGGACTATGGCCCGGGTTGTGCGTCAATCTGCCCTCGTTCCTCCCTGCACTGGTGGTAGCGAGTTCGACTCTGGTTAACCACGTCAAGGGACGTCCCCGTCCGTTTGTGTTCTTCCGGACCGTAATGGCTTCAAACACAATCCTCGATGTAGCCACCCTATGGGCGATCGGACTGCCCGGCGGGTCTACGCTCGATATCATTTCTCGTTCGATTGCTATTTTCTTGGCTTAAACGGCGCTGTTCGTCCTCTGCTTTGTGTGCTCTGTGCATACTAACAGCCGCTCTCCCTGTTACATTCTGTCTATTTGCTTTATTTGTTCGGTCTACTGCTATCGTGATCAATGTGTATCGTTAGCACATTACCCAGCTCTGCCCATCGTGTTACGTACGTAGTATCACCTGCTCTCTGTGATAATTTGCCCATCCGCTGTCTCTATCGCGTTCGGCGTGTAATGAGACTCGTTCCCCCGTTCTGCGCGTCACGCCCGTATGTATGATCTGCTTCGCTCAGCTATCAGTGCTTGTTATCTCGAGATTTGTGTACGATACGCGCTGTCCACAAATCGCTGAACTGTGTCGATATATCCATGACATGCATTATCGAGCATTTGTCTGTGAGCAGATATTGGCTCGGTCGAACGTCGCCCAAGCTTGAGCGAGTGAGAAGACGGAAACTGGTGTGGCAAATGAGGTCGTGGGGCTCGAAGCACTGTCGAGACGCACCGCACTCGCGTATGGTGAGACGACCAACAAGCAAGGGACAGGTGGCAAGTATTTCCTGGATAGCTGCGCATTCTAAAATCCAACCCGACCAGGTACTCCCGTGCAAGAACGGTGCCGCTGGCCAGGTCGGTTCACCTGATGTTGAAAAAGGCGGGCCGAGTCACAGGTCATCACGTTGTGCACGAGTTGTAATATCGATGTTTGGCGTGCATCGTCGATTCTGGTAGCAGCGCTCGAGGGTCTACCAATAGATAAACTAGTCAACGCGCAGACAGACGTAAACAAGGGCTGACCACACCGGCATCTTCTGTACAAAGTATCAGCTCATACACTTTCGCGCATGAACATCTCTCAGAGGACGGAACATCCCATATTATCATCCTTACACGCACGTCTCCACTTCGCCGCGTATAAGTACGCGTCCAGGCCATCTCTACTCACCGTCGGCACTTAGCGCAACGCTCAACAGGCCGGCACGAACAAATACATACCATCCTGATCCACGAGAACCCCCGCTCCCTCTTGACGTGTCCACTTCAGGTGCAGAATGTGAGACGGAGGTGTCCAGAGCAGGACGCATACCTGCCAATTCTCGCCTCGCGAGCTCATGCCCTGGAGACATGAAAAGCGCAGGCACAGACGTCCTCCCCCAGTAGTCATTTCAGTGCGTCTTGGAGCTAGACCACGGTTGGTGATATACGGACGTTCGCCGAGTTCTGTCTTCTGTAGACCTCTGCTTGCACGCGCTCTAGCTGGCAGTATGTGCATACCTGCCTGTTTTCTATTCGTGCGTCATCAGCTGTTTTCGCTCGTCTCTGCATCGCTACCTGGCAGCCAATGATTGACAGCTTTGGTGTGAAGCACAATTGCGCTGCCCTGTCATGTATGCAGAGATCGAGATGGGTTCTGGTGTCCGCTGTGACGCGCAAAGCATTGCGAGCACCAACACAGAAAAACTGCAGGAGAGGAAGGCAGCGCAGGGAGTTCAGAGGACCTGGAGGTGCTTCGCGGCGAGAGTGGTGGACAGTAGACAGTAAGGAGCCGATGATCGTGTCTCCGCTCTGACGGGTCAGGTTAGGCTATCAACGCGAGACCCGTCTGCGTCCACCTCTTTTCATCGCCGCCCGGCGGGCTTGTGTCTTTGACCTGCGCAGCCGCGACCCAATTGCATGACCGCGAGGAAAAGGGCATCTCGCTGCAACGCGCCAATGGTATCATGTCTATATATCCGTGGCACGATATCGACCCTTTGTCCTTCGGGGAAGGTAGGTTCAGTTCAGAATGCGCAGGGCGGGCCAGGACGTGCGAGTGAGCAGACGGGAAGATTGTAGGAGGTGCTGCGCGCACCCGCACAAAAAGCGTCGAGGAGCGCGGCATCTACGTGTACTCTGGCCATGACGAGGCGAGAGACGGGCGGTGAGGTGGCTGCGTCCTACTAAGTTCAGCGACTTCGCTTGAGTTATCAGCGTCCCCACAATGGTGCTGTCGATGCAGCATCGGTGCCCCATTCGAAAGTCCAACCCGGATGGATGGTCCCGCGCAAGGATGGGCGGAGCGTCCAGATCGGTGGACCTAGTGTTTTGGGATGGCGCGCCGTATCGCAAGTCACCCTGTTGGGTCCGAGTCAAAAAAGGGTCCATTGAGCGTAACCGGTCCCGGCGTCCGTGGTGCTCACGAGCTGGTCAAGTCTCCGACACTGTTCGCGCACCCCCACGCCATGCGACCGCAACCCCCGACACGATGCTCACAAGCGTGTGTCACCCGACGTAGAGCACCGCCCTTCTCGGGACATAAGCCGGATTATAAACGTTTTAGGAGTAAATAATCAAGTCGTCGACACGACGAGGGAAACCGTGCACCAGAGGTCACCTCAGAAGAGTGGCCAGCGCACACCATTGGCGCATACAAGGACCCGCGCGGACATCTCTCGCAGGACGGAAGACCCTACGAGGATTCCGTACCTGCAGGTCGGCACTGCATGCTGTTAGACGCCCCCACTCCATCTCCGCCCCCTCTCTGCATCGCCGCATACCACAACGCTAGTAGGCCAGCGCGCACAATCCCGCGTCTCCGAACGCACATTATGGCTGTGCGGACCTCGTACGCTCAACGGGGCCGCAATGTCAGCCTCATCTACGCCATTGCCGGTCCCGCTGGAGGCGCTGGGCGTGGAAGACGCGCCGTACTGCCCTTGTTCTGGTGTCCGCGATGTGAAAGTGCGATTGTGATGGGAGAAGGAAGGCTGAGCGGACGGGCGGAGTGCTGCACGAGGTCAGTACATGCGAAGCTGAGGTCACAGACCACCATGGCCGATATCCGGCGGAGACGCGGGTTTTGCAAGGCGCACAACGATGGTGGATCAACTGTTCACAAATGGTAAGTCGCTCACCAGTCTTGAATAGTGGACAAACAGCTCTTCGAAAGAAAACTTGTCACAGCAGGAGGATGATCCCAGCAGGTGGTATAAATCCGCAGAAATGAATAAAAACTCAGCCGGCGACAGGCTGGTTGGACAAACAGGTATCAAGACAAGAATTGGAAGGAAAGGAGCTGAATAGAGGGATAGTGGTATGCAAAAACTCAGTGGTCAGTCATACTGACGGGTACCAGCTCGCAAGCCTCCCTGGCTCAATTTCAGTGACATCAGTCCGGCGTGAGTCAGATCATAATGGGATTTCACTAGCGGGAGTCGAACCATCGACCCCGGCCCGGCCTTGTCTGCACGCAACATGCGTGTTCAATCAGCTGAACTACACGACCATAACTCGGTCGTTGCACGAATCATGACAGCAGGTGCGGCCCATAGAGCAGTTCTTGAGTCGGATACAGTTGTGCGGATGAGCAGGCGGGAGCCACGATGATACGGTGCAAACGCAGTCAAATGTGACTGGATGCTCGTCAGCTACGGAGAGTGTCATTATATCACATCATTGGAATAGAATTGCAGTTCAACTGGAACTTATCAGCGGCATGAGGGGTACAGACTGGTCTCCTGTGGGCAAAACGTGATACACTTCCTTCCTACGCAGACTCCGGATATCCATGTATAACGTACAGACCGACGACGTGAGATAGCAGGATGGTGCCTGGATGTCATGATAGGCTGGTATGGCGAGGACAGGAGGCAGAGATATCAGGATGCGGACAGATGGGTGATGAATTGCCTGGGACGAAGGGCTACGCGGTGTGCTATTCTGAAGGTGTCGAATACGGTCAGCGGAGACGACTAGCGGCGCTGAGCGATGGCATTGCTGGATTTTAGCAAATAAATGACCGGGGCAGCCGGACTCTCGCGCGGCCGAGTGAGCATCTGATCATTGCGTATTTGAAGCGCGCCGGTGAGAGGAAGAAGCGAACAAAGTGGGCTGCCATGCGCAGCATTTGGTCGGGGACCGGGGGCAAGTGGATGACACAGGTCTCGAACACAACGCGGGCGAGCCGGCGGCGGGGGTGGCAGACGGGCCGAGGAGGACGCTGCGAGACGGCCGGGCGGAGCGGGAACAAAGGGGCGCCTGGGGCACAGCCCGGAGACGGCCGGGGGAGCCGGGGAAGTGGAGCTGTTTGAGAGGGGAGAGGGACGGGCGCTGGATGGAGGATATGGCTCCTGCTGGCTCAGGCTCTTCTCTGCAGCTGTACTCTATTCCTCTCTAGTCCCATGGCCTCTCTATCTCTGCCACCCACCCTCACCTTCCGCGCTGCTGCGTCGGCGTCCTCCTCCGCTGCGTCCGGCTCGTTCACCGTCCCTGGAAACCTCAAGGTCAGTCTGCGCAGCGCCTGCAACCGGTTACCCACTGCCCGCTCGTCTGACATCCGTGTCTGCAGATCGTCGGCGTAATCCTCGCCGTTACCAGTGGTCTCCTCATTGGCTCCAGCTTTGTCTTCAAGAAGAAGGGGCTCATACGCTCACAGAAGGGTCTCGTTGCGGGAGAGGGTGTTGGCTACCTCAAGTCGGTGAGTGGTCTGCGTAAAGCGCTCTACAGATACTTCCGTCCTTGCGTCACGTATATCAACGGCCCCGTGCTCTCTGACGTTGTCCAAGGCGCACGGCCTACGTCTCGCTCTCCTTGCCATACATCGCATCCTTGCCTGCTTGTTTCCATGCACCAGAGCACTCTGCGCCAGTGGATGCCGTGGCTTCGTCTCCATTGACGAGTAACGACCCGTTGCATCGCAACCTCGCACGCCCCACCAGGCCGCTCTCGCCCTGCGCCCAGCCCTCGTCATGACGTCGTCAGCCGGTCGCATGCCCGAGCGGCTCGCACGCCTGTGTGCTGTCTATCGTGTCTCAAGCCAGAGCGCGGGTGCAGTCCCAGTGGCCTCACAGCTTTTGGCTTATCCGCTCTGTTCACCCATTTTGTGAGCCAAGGCTAACGATGTTTACTCACAGCCGCTATGGTGGACCGGAATGTCTAGTACGTCCTCTCGTGCGCGTACCCTGTCGGCGCGAGTCTCACGTCCAGGTCGTTTCTGCAGTGATGATCCTTGGCGAGATATGTAACTTTGTTGGTGAGCTTATCTTTGTCCGGCGTGTTCTTGCCTGTGCCTAGCCTGGCCCACCTGTCTTCGTCATTCTGTCTTACGCAGGAGTGTGAGCGCGCCCTCTTGAGACATGCCGTTCCACCCTGTGTGCGACTTGCAGACCCGGCTTTGGGCGGCATATAGTGTACCACGCGGGATTTGTGGCCGTCGAGGCTGCGCCGGGTGATTGCCCGTGGCTACTCGCAGTACAGGTCTGCTCATACTCATTCCTCCACGCCTGCCTTGGCGCGAGGTCGCGTAGCCCTCCGCTTGTCACATCCATCCATACATTCGACCACATGCTGACTACATCATCTCGCCAGCCTATGCGTTCGTCGAAGCCATCGTCGTGGTATGTAGCGCGTTTCCCCCCTATACGGACTGCCCGCTGATCCCCCTTGCTTCCAGACGCCGATGGGCGCGCTGTCTGTCGTGATATGCGCGATCCTGTCGCACTTTTTCCTCCAGGAAAAGCTCGGCTTTTTCGGTTGGCTTGGCTGCGGGCTGTGCATCGTGCGTCCCGCCCTGCCTGCTGCGCGTGATGTCATCGGACTGACGAATTTGATTTCTCCCCGGCGTGCGTTCGTCAGATTGGCTCGGTCATCATTGCGCTCAATGGTAGGTGTGCGCGCGCATCGGTGTGTGAGCGGGGCTGACGATGGCGTGGTGCAGGTCCGCAGGAGGCGTCGGTCGGCCAGATCACGCAGTTCCAGGCGATGTTCCTCGCACCGGGCTTCCTTGCGTACGGCTCGGTGCTCATCGCGGCGTCGCTCGTCATCGTGTTCTATTTTGCGCCAAAGTGAGTGGCACAGTCGGACAGCGTGCGCGCGCGTGCAGACTGACGCTGGCGTAGGTACGGCTCGAAGAGCATGCTGTGGTATATCATGGTGTGCAGCATGATTGGCGGGATCAGCGTGAGCGTAACGACTGGGCTGGGGTCGGCGATCGTAACGAGCGTGATGGGGGATAACCAGGTGCGTGGCGCGAGGATAGTCCCCGGCGGAGGCTAATTCTGCACTGCAGTTCAAGCACTGGTTCATATACTTCCTGATGGCGTTCATTGCCGTGACATTGAGTGAGTACACATACCTCTCAGCATTACATGCATTCTAATAGGCGTAGTCACCGAGGTGTATTACTTGAATAAGGCGCTGGCGCTCTTCAATACCGGTACGTGCTTGAGATGATCATCCGAGTCCGCAGCCTGATAGCTTCTCTTTCTATAGCAATGGGTAAGTGATGCCCAGACCTGTGCGACACTCGGCTAACCTTTTCTATCAGTCACCCCAACATACTACGTGATATGTGCGCGCGTCCCCGATCGTCTGCACGTGTCTCGCTGACCACCCCGCAGTCACGTTCTTCTCGATGCTGACGACGATCGTGCTCTTCCAAGGGCTCAAGGCGAGCGCGACGCAAATCATCACGCTCGTTATGGGCTTCGTGGTGATCTGCTTCGGCATCACGATCCTGCAGCTCTCCAAGGTGGACCCGACACAAATACAAGTGCTGGACCGGCGGTCGACGATCCTGCTGCAGGCGGCGAAGCGCGACACGGAGGGCATGGACGAGAAGAGCCTCGTCGCCGTCGAAGACCCGGGCATCGACGCGCTGCGCGGCGGCTTTGGCATGGTCGGCAGCGTCATCCGCGCGAGAAGCGCACACCGCATGAGCATGAGCAGCCGCGCGACGGGCAGCATACATTCGCGGTACAGCGTCGCGCCGCCCGGGTCCTCAGACCACCTCGCAGGCATGAAGCGCCACCAGCTGTGGGACGCGCCCGTGCCGGGTACGCCGCTGGGCGTGCCCGACGTGGAGGCCGACGCGCACTCGCTCGCGAGCCGCCCGTCCGATGTCGGCTCGCCGCGGCCGAGCACGCGGAAGCAGACGATCAAGTTCGATAGCCAGGACGTCGTGCACTCGTACCACCTCCCGGGTGCAGGCGACGGCACTGCGACACACGAGATGCGCAGTGCGTCGCACTTCTCGATGAGCCCGCCTCTGAAAGCGGTGAGTGGGCGTGTCTGGAGGGGGTCGGAAGATGGTTGCTGATGCGTCGCTCTTTACTAAACCAGGACGATCTGAAGGGCCCAGACACGCAGGTCGTGACGCTGCCCGTGCCGAGCTCGCTCGACGAGATCGCGGAAGAGGCTGGTGCGCGCACGGCGCCGCCGATGCTCACGCGCGACCCCTACCACTCAAGACCGGCGTTCGACAGCGACATCTTCGCGCCGACGCCGTCGAGCGCAACGAGCCTGTCGTTCCCGCGCCTCTCGGACGAGGACTCGTCCGGGGGAACGGGCAAGCGGGGGAGCATGTCGCCCCCGCGCCATCACAGCCATCACTTTTGGCGGTCGCCGGGGGGCCGGCGGTATCCCTCGGGGCAGGCGGACGAGGACCGGGAGCAGAGCGAGAGCCTGTGGCGGCGGGAGCCGGAGGACGACGAGAGCCCGACGGAGGTGGAGGGCGGGATCCGACTCGTGCCGAATCCAGGGAGGCACTGAGAGGCGGCGTGGAGAGGACCTTGGCGTCGTCATCAGATACGATGCGGCGGGCTTGTTTGTGACGATGACTTATTACCTTGGTGTTCGGCGTTCTGCGGCTATGGTGTTCCCGGTGCTTGGTTGTGCGCAGGAGCGCAGCTGGGCTCTGGGGCTGTGTAGACGCGTAGAGGGTGCTCGCGCGCGCGGTGGTGGTACCTTTCCGACTCTCGTGTTGCGCGGCGGGGCGCAGATCTATCTCTTTGTCGTGTACTCTTCGGTTTTCGCTTTGGGACGTGGACATTCGAACTCGTGTCTCATGTATAGTACAATAACTTCGTTTATGTAGCGCGCGCAACACACCACGCAGGGCTCGATGATACACTGGAAAATTCGTGAACAGAGTTTTAGCCGTCTTAGCCGCCGTGCGCGGGCTTGCGTCTGACCACTATCGTCGGATGTGGCTATTTCTACTCTGCGAGTTTCTCTCATAGCCCTCGGCTCGATGCTTTGCTCGGGTGGATCTTCAGGCTCTTCGAATATCATTTCTCAAAGTCCCGTCGTGCTCTGTCGGCCGTCAGTTTCCCTAGGGCCTCAAATCTACTTGTCTGTCAACGTCGTCTACTTCTTGGTCTGACTTGACCTTCCCGTAGCAATTGGTTCAGTTTGAAAAGAACGCTTGCTGTTCTCCTGGGTGAGTGTCGATAAATCTCGAACGCGAGTCTGACTCTGTTGAGGATGCGATGATGTTCTGAATCGGTGTGTTACTCCTCATGAGTCACCGCGACTGCCGTTCTTCAAGGTTCGACCAGCAATGACTACACTTCTATGAACGAGTGGTCCTGGTGGTTCGCTCCGTGTATTATCCACCAGCATCGCGCTCTTGCGGGGACATACAGCTGTAGCAGCCGTAGGTGAATCATACTCGAGTGCGCGTTGGTCGTTGGTCATAGTCCCTACCGAGCTGTATAGCGGGGTGAGCTAGAATGACAACAACCTTTACGTAGAGCACGGAATACCTGCTTACGGCCTTCGTCATGCTCACTATCCGTCTCGTTGGCTCGTGCTATTGGAAAACCACTTCTACGGATGTGACTGCCTATCGCCCCACACTGGTCCGCGTTGTCCGCATTAGTATGTAGAAGAACCACAATAGATAGGTGGAAACCGTCAGCGACCCACATGCATGCAGCGAAGCTTTGAACGCGTTGCGTTGGATCGATCGTGGTGATACACTGATAGATCGCTGGCCTCACGTCCACCCCGCGCCAGCTGAACCTTCGCGCCTTGGCGCGTGGCTGCCGTGTGCATTCCATGCACGGGCGTGCTGCGGGCCTGTTGCCCTCCTACATTGTGCCTTCGGGTGGGCTCCCAGCACTAGCATGGTGTCTTGCTGACATGTCGGCACGATGTTCGGGGTGCGCGTTGTCCACGTACGCACCGCGCCGGAGAACCGGAATGGTCATCAGCGGGCCGGCTAGTTACCGTGTTCATTATTACTAATGGCCCTTCGTCCTAGACCTTTGCCAAGTGCAGGTATGACAGGTGAAAGACGCGCAATGCTTGCGTACTCTTAATTTGTTGCGCACGGATATATTTCGTACGTCCGCCTTATGCTCTTCGGGCCCGCTCATCGAAAATGAAAAACGAAAGCTATTACACAAGCTCTACCGAAGGTAAGGTTCGTTCTACCCCGGTTCCTGAGCGTTTGTCTCCCGCGTTAGCTACTTCTTTACCCCCCTTCGAAGCCAGAAGCGTAAGGCAGTTGTGATCCACGCGCCCGTATCTCCGGCCGGAGTAGGTTCATGGGTGAAGGTTGCTTTTTTTGGGTCCGCAGATCGACGCTGTACGGTCGTGGCAAGCGAGGATCGTATCACAAGGTCAGGGTCGGTTGCATTCGCGTCTGCCAGTCGGTTGCCTTATGCTACTGAACGCTCGTCGTGATCAAGCACACTGGGTTCCATTCATATCGTAATTCTTTTGACCCATGATGGCGTCAGACACCTTTGTTCCGGCAGCAAATTCATATGAGTGAAGTTCGATTGAGAACTCTCGCTTTCTCTTGCGACATAGGTAACGGCACACCGAGCCTGCCTGCTATGAAGGCGGGAGACCGACCTCGACAAAATTACAATGTAAAAGTGGAACGACAATACCATAAGACTTTCTTTGGCTATCATTGGCGATGCAACATATAATTATACAAGCTGTCCTGCGCGGTACATCTCAGTCATATCTGTGGCGCCTCCCCAAGCGGGCCAGCGAGCGTCCGCAGTGATGCTCAACATCACTACCCAGTCTACAATACACATAGCCTTGCTGAAGTCTCACGAACATCGACATGAGAGCGCGTGGCTCACTCCAATAGCGCGTGAGGGCGTAGCAGTACATCTCAGCCAAGTTTGTACAATGGAAGATAATTGTCGCACATACTATACTCCAGGGATTGAAATTGAACTGCCCACAGGGCACGCAGACAGTGCAAGTATCATGACACCGGTACGGGTAACCCGGCTGCCTGCAGCATGTCCTTCTCGTACAACACCTTCGGGCGCATCCCGCGCCGCGAGGCCTCAGGGTAAACACACTTGAGGTTGCGACGTGCACATTGACTATGGAGTCGGGTCAGTATCTGCGAGGTGAGTTGGGGTCGGCACGCATGATTAGCACGTACTTGCAAGTACGATCAATCTTCCCTGGCGGCGGGCTGCCGCATGCGATCTTGCGTTTACGGCAGAAAAAGCATGCCAACGTGAGGGGCTTTTTGGGCGTGTCTTCGACGGGTGGGGGTACAGGAAGCGGCGCCTGTGGGGGTGACCCGACAGGAATAGACAAAATGTAGGAAGGATGAGGAGGTTGCGTCAAATCTAGGTCGTCTTGATACGTTCGGCGCCCCACTGGCATGTGCGGCTGTGGAGCGCGTATGGCTGACGCCGGCGATTCTATTGAGGTGTAGTGCATTGAAGCCATCTCGAAGGACGAGTAGTCATACACAGACGGCGGTGGATGCTGCGGACTTGACGACGTGGGATATTCACCATACCCCGCAAGGCTATGATTGTACTCCATATTCGGTGTACCTATCGTCCCCGTGAGCAACAGGTGATGTAAGGTGCCGACGACGCTTCACCATACCTTGCACACCATGCACATTCAGGTTGGACATTGGATACGAGCCACTGCGATTGGAGTGATCATTCGGTTGCAAATGGTGTGCCTGCATGGAGAATTGTAGCTCTACAGTATTCTGGGCGTAGTTGAATAGATCAGGGACGGTACACGAGAAAAGACTGTAGGTGCCACGCACAACCCGTTGACAGCTTCCCATTACATGAGTGTCCCAATCCGCATCGTGCTGCCAGTTGAGGTCGTCGCTCACATAGGTATCCCCATGAGCAGACAAAGGGTGCTGATGCGGAGGCGTCGCCAGCGGAGGGGATTCAGGCGAAGACTCATACGACCAGGAAGAGTCGGAGCCATGACGGCTCGCAAATACGCCTTTGCGCGATGTGTCAATGGGGTACGGAACGCTCGAAGCAAGCGTTGAGTATTTCGCCTCATCCGCGGGAGTATGCACGGAATGATGAGGTGCACACTCGGTTAAATGAGGGTACGGGCTATTGTTTCTACCGGATGGGCCAGCGTCGCATTCCGTCTCGTCTGTTGATAGATAGCATGAGTTTTCAAAGTAAGGAATTACTGCGAACTTCATACATATTGAGCGTTTATTTCCCGCTCGAACAGAGGGTCGCACTTTCGGCTGTGTCTGCTCACGATTGTGGATCGATTGGGGATCGGTAAGTACTCTTCAAGACATGCAAGGTTGCGGCTTACTTCTCCTTGGCCCGATGACGGCCGCCGGTAAACAAACTCGCCAGTGGGGTACAAGGGAGTAGGATTACCCGGCATCTCAAAGAATGGGGCGGACTGATGGACAGCCAGAGAGTAGTTCATATTCTGTGTAGTCGTTGACCGAATATCGCAGTCAGTGGCACAGAGGTCGGTCTGCATGACGGGATAGTAGGCTGCGCCGCCGTCGGCGTCAGTGGCACCGGACATTCGAGAATGGTGGTACATCGTCGGTTGCTGATGGATACAGTCGCCGGATGATCAAATGATCTACGACTCAATGAAAGCGGTGAGCGAGAGCACCGGGTCCGGCTAAGGGGAGAAGAGAGGGAGGGGCGCGCCTGAGACCAGGAGCTCCCTCGTCCATTATATTGCACACCGTGCTTTGGGTAAGGCGTATTCATAGCTTTGACGTCTGAGACACGCACGCGAGGAGCGACGCTAGGCCAAGTCATCTGATGGGACTGGCAAATCGTCTAATTCCCCCGTAAATGAAACATCTCAAATATACAAGGCAGCCACATACATGCGTTTATCTGAAGCTTATCCCTCTTCGTCTTCGCCATTATCGCTGTTGTAATCAGGCGCCGTTTTCCTACGGTGCAGCCGTTCATATAAACAGCTATGCCGATTACAGCCGGCCTCAGTCTGACGCAACGCCATGCAATTTCGTGGACCTCGAGCGGCCGTGACTGTCTCTGGGTGAACAGTCCAGGACCCCGCTATCTGGATGTGGACGGGAGCTTCTCGCTCAGTCTGGCAACGGGGTCTCAGCTCGAGAATACAATATCGTAATTCTGATCTTGAGGATGCTCGGCGATACTCACAAGGATTGCCTTTTTAGTCCATTTCCCTTCAGCATCCGCCAGAACCATCTATCGAGACACAGACGAACTGCCAGCTTCTCGTAGTCTCGAAGCCAAAGTATACTTATCCGTACTGCGTGACTACGATAGTATCAGCGGGTGACCGTCTAATCTTGCGAGCAGGCCTATCCATCGCACTGAGCGGGCGACCTCATTGCAGGCACATGTTGCATCATGCGTTCTCTTCATATATTAAAGTTTGAGCAAATTGCAACCCATAAGGACGGATTCTGCCGAAGAACGGTTCCTCGGCGTGACGCTCTACAATGCATATTGCATTCGATCCAAAATTTACCGGTCTCGATGTCGACGAACGCGCATGGACACACGCTTGTTTTTCACTGGCAGAAGAATATCCACCGATTTACATTTTTTCAGAAATCGCTGTAGACCGCCATGTGTGTGTTCGAATAGAATCTCGAGCGTCATCTTCTCTTTGGCTTATCGCGCTCTCCGGCGTCGTTCGGGAAGGCTTTGTCGTAATACCACGCCTATCTTCTGTCAGCTTCACGGATATAACCTCGGTCAATCCGGACAGGCTACAGCCGCGCAAGAAATACTCCGCTTGACCTTGCGTCTACCTCGACATGCTGATGCGATCTTTGTTCTATAATGGGTAAGTCTCACTCCACGGACGGGTGAAAAGACTAAGTTAGACTGCGTCTGTCTCGTTGGGTCCATTAGACAATGGCATCGGCATCCTTAGTTTCACGGAGACTGAATTCGCGGGCTCTGGGAATAATTGGCCGAGGGGTCCCAGCGACGATCACGAACGACAATTTCATAAGCTATGGAAGTGGAGCTTGAGCTTGTACTCCACATGCCTGCGTCACATTCGCCGGTACATAAAGGCACATTGTCAGTAGAAGGCTATTGTCGAGCGACATTGTTGAATGAACCGAAATCAGAGCAGTAAGCAATTGGAAACGGCCAGGGTCGATCATCCCTTGCAGATGCCGTGGTAGAGCTATGTCACCGACTAGATTGCGGAATAAATCTAGTAGAATCAACGACGAGTGAGGAACAAGGGGACATATTTGATTTATGTGGATTGTAGGCCATTTCTGTCCCGAATATACGAAGGACGTCAGTTCGCCGCGAACGAAACCATCGCCAGAACTACTACCTGACGCAACCGAGCTATCAGTGTCGCGCCTTGCCTAGCGGAGTTGGACTGGCGCCGCTGGCATATTGATGACCGCGCGTTGAATCCCCGATACGTCGTGCAATGCCCCACATTTCAGGAGTACAGCAGCGCACTGCAAGCACATATCTAGGAAGACGATGCGTGGGGGAATGTAGAATGCCATTCGGCTTGTCATGATACATGCCCCACATGCACCATCGACGAGGGCCTTCATTTAGCAACATTTGGTGGACGCGTTAACGGTGATGTAGGCTTCCGCGCGCTGAGACACAAGATCCGAGATGGTATGTGAGCTGAATACGGACATAACCGAGGCCGCACGATCGGAGGTATTGGGGTAGACGGGCACAACCGAAGATCAAGAAGAGAAAGCGAAGCGGTGTATGGCCGGATCTGGGGTGGCACCGGCAGTCACGACACATGGGCCATTGACGTGGGTGATCGAGCTCCTGGAGACAGCTCAAACATTGAAGAGGAAGAGAAGACGACCGTTGGGCGAAGGACAGTCGGGAATGCACGGTAGTTGGCGAATCCAGGGCACACCCGGAGCACCTGGCTAGTCATACCATTGTGGCTTCGGACGTGAAAAGGCGAATGGCTGGCTGATAGGGATGACTCGTGCTACTCAACTTCATTGCTGCGGAGAAGGCCGTGCTTCGCGTCGAAACAAGTATAATGCAATATATGCAGGTCTGGAAGCCAATGGGTCAACGAGTAACGCGCTCATGGAGACGCAGTGATGTGCATAGGCCCAATGAAACGAGGACGCACTAAAACGTTTTCCTCCAAGCGAATGAAGACCGTCTTTCCCGAATTGGGTAGGGACCTGAGTTCTGGCAGCATGCAGCAAGGATCGGTCTCATCAGTGTATCCATCGCCTTCAGCACTGAGCGCAGGTGGTCGCGTCGCGCAGTCTCCGACGATGGGACGTCGACGTAGCTCAAGGCAGACTGTTGTCATCATCATGGTATTTGAAACCAGGGTCGTACGGCGCCGCCTCGGACGAGACCAGTACGTGCAGCAATTGAATCGACAACTGATACCGCTGCCACACGTGACAACCGCATTCCAGAGCGCAAAGATGGTGGAGATAGAAATCGAACCCATGGGATAGGCCCGAGTCCCGGCGCATTACAGCGCATAAAGCCTCCGAGCCTTCTTCGCATTCATCGCATAACTATACGTGCTACGGCAGGCAAGAGCACGTTCGACCATTACCCGTCAGGAGAGATAGATGTGCTTTATCAGCCAGGGGAGCGTATGGCAATGTTCGATAGAACAGGGAGTGCAGTATGAGCATGAGTCGCGACCTACCCTTACCAGAGAAATGACCTCGGAGAACTTTAGAAGTCTTTATCGCATATATCACAGGTAATAGATACAGCTGACAACCTGGCCAGAGCGGGCTACCACAACATGCCGACATAGGTGAGTCGGGAGTAGTGTCTCAAAGTAGTGATTCTTTGACTCTTCTCGTGTGTGGAATCCCGCGAGGTAGAACTGCGCGATCGCAGGTCCTGATAAGGCCCGCGCATGAACCATGTCTTCGGGCCCCAGCAGCCAGATATAGGCCAGGAAAAGCCCGGCGACGATCGCGCGCGACCCTGAACTTCGCCCCCGAAGCCTGGGGGTTCCAGAGCACGCACCGGGCGTTAGCACGCAGGGCTGAGATTAGGACCAAATTGGGACAGGGAGCAACGTCGGCCGTCCGGGAGCATGCGACTCAGATGACCACGCAGTACAATCGCCTCCTCCATGCGGGCGAAACGCGTGGTATTCGTACGATCGCCAGTTGCGAAGACGAGGTAGACTTGAGATGAGAAAGGACATGGGCGCAACTGTAGCAGCAGGTCCTTCCGGGTCCTGAAAGTGAGGTCAAGGCGGCAATCTTGGTGTCTAGCCGCTGGGGAGAACGAGCAAATGGTTACTCCCTGCGGAATGATAGAAGCTCACATCTGACTGGGAAGGTGTGCTCCCGCCGGGATGAAGCACGTGCGAACCAGACTTTGGGATCGCACCAGCCAAGAGCACAACAACAGCTGTTTACGCCCTCCCCGTCAATCCGTGATCGTAATACGCGCTGCACCAGGCAGGAATGGAAGTGGGCACTGCAATGCGGCGTTGGTGATGGGATGAATGGACTACCTGTGTACGAGGGACAATACATATCATACGCGTGATACTATGAGAGCTGTCGCTGTGCGGGGAATAGCACGGGTTCCACCGTGCGTGCGGCTTCACCGTATGTGAGTACACCGACATGGGGCATCACGTTGTACTTGAGCGAATAATGCGCCGGGGGCACGTCCCTGGAACGTTCGAAGTGTGTTAGAACCAGTATGAAATGAAAGCAGTGCGGACAGGTGCCCAGATAGATTGCAATGGTAAGTATTGATCTGCAAATCGAGCCCAGTGGTGCCGGCGGCGTTAGGGTGTTTAATGTCTCGATAATAAAAGACAATGGTGCGTTTCGTGCGACCCTCGCCATTGAACTTTGCATTTTGGTTATTCATTTTGACGGTATCGTAAAAATGAAGACAGGAGAATGTCCACAGACAGTTGGATGGGGCTTTACAGAACCCATTCAGATATGGGGATAAGGTGGACAATTTTTGACAGAGTTCTGTACATCGTGTCTCATCGGCGTAACGCTGGAGGAGTGGGGGCCTCGCGAGACCATTCAGACAAGTATTCCAGGCCACGAGAGACCCCCAGGCATCTCAGTCCGATAATGAAAGCCAGCGACGGCATGCCGCCAAAGCACATTTGCGAGATCTCCACAATAATAGGCATGAGCATATTGCGTCTTATTCGACGTGGTTTGTGACCATCAGTTGCCTGCGCACTGTGCTAGTTCGAACTCGTTCGTAGCCCTCTTCACGGTTTAGAGGCATCTGGCACATCAACATGCAGGACGAGCCTGATTCGCAAAGACAGGCAATGGCGGCACAAAAAGTTCAATCTCTGAGTTAAATGAATGGTTCCGCCGTGCGAAACAATTCAGGTATGGCAATACCATCCGCTCTGGCGAGCAAATAACATTCTGGAGTAGGCTAGAAATCCTTAGCCAGTTCGCCGATTCGCCGAAGTCCAGACGACAGAGAATAAGAGTAATTTGAGACCCCAGTTACGTACCGGAACGATGCGCTAAGCTCGCGGAAATTGTACTTGTTGCGACCGGCGAGGGAGATCTTCGCGTCCTCCTTGCGACGCACGATGCGATCCCAGATGACGACTTCGTTGGTTACCTGAGGGCGGGAGTATCAGAAGAGTTGCGAGATAGAGAAGTAGTGGGGTAACTGGAAACGTTGCCGGACAGTGTACGAAGATTGGGACGATAGCTAAATGCGCAGCTCCCAGAAGACACCCACGCAGGCAGCATACAAACACTTGGCAGTGCTCATTTACCAGATAGCGCACGATGCAGTCAGCACGCTCAGACAAGGGACCCAGACCACGCCACTATGGGATCGGCAGGCATGGCTCTGACGCTTCAGATGACTAGCGCACTGAACGACCGCTCCCCGTGGCCTCCACAGCTGCAACAAAATTGAAGAATAAGACGCACTCCTTTCTTGTTCGTGTACTCAGCACTAACATACAAAAACAACTGTTTCGTATTCCAGTTGAAGAGCGGCGAGAGATCTGTTCAATATAACATTAGCGACTACATGCAGCCCTAGTTTGAATACATACCAGCAGAGACGTTGAAATTGACGAATGCGAAGTCTTGTTGTCGATGTCCGTATCTCCGTGCGTTTCCGGGAACACTATATGCGTGTCAGTCTTGAGGACGCCGAAGACATTCTGGATACGAACACTTGGACGTTGGTGATGGCAAGCTGCCCTTTAGGGTCCGCGGTGAAGATAAAGGACGAGAGCGCAATTGCTGCGAGCAAGACCATCATACATGAGGAAAGGAGGGCGGTGACATTGTTGACGCGAGCGTAAAGGGTGTGCATAGCGATAGCGTCGTCGGCGTTGGGGGACGATGAGCAGAAGGCTTTTGGCGCCGTTCGCGTGTCCGGCGTTTGTGAGGCCCGAGCGCCTTTTGGCGCCTTTGCTAATTATAGTAATAGTGCGCCCGCTGTTTTCGGGCCAATTCATGGTATTCCGATATGGAAACCCAGTGTTCCTAATTGGGGCAAATGGCGGTATATACCTTCCCTCCCTGATGAGCGGGGTAAATTTGGCTCATTGCGCGTCCATATAGATACATTATATGCTGTACACTTATTCTAAGTTTACATACCACCATCTGTGTCCTTAATTTTGTAATGTCATGCTGCTGCTCGTGCACGTCTCCACGCATTTAAGAACTTGATCATTTATAAATGCAAATGTACTCAATCACTATTGAGGTTGGAAGCCTATCTCCTGGCGTCCTTGCACTCCCTGCACTCGACCGGAGAGTGTGAAAGAAGCTCCAACACATCCGTTATCATGACGACAGTGTACAGACCTTGCATACTATATCGCGCTAAAGTATATTTCATAAGTCGTACCCCATGTATCATGCATATATCGCAGTCTGTTGAGCAACGCTTACAAACGCAAATTGAGCAACAGATGAGTTACGATTGTACCACTGGAGATTGCCTTTGTCGACTGCTATGACCTTTAGGGCTAGAGGATTATTTAGCGACTTCCGCGTGTAGTCTGTCTCTGCGGCTCCCGACAATGGTAGCCCAAATATCAGCTATCACAAAAACGGTCAGCTACTCCGGTGAAAGATCAAGGCACCAGGGTCTACCGGTATTTGCGCAGCCGATGCTCCCAGTGTCGCCCATGAATGTATATTGAAGCGAAGACCGAGGCAATATGGCACACTCGAGGCGGCGGCGTAACCTCATTGGCAGGACTATATCAGCCTGGGTATGGCTGTGGTTCATGTCGTCCAGCTGGCTTGTTCATGATATTCAATTCCCTACTCATGATCTCATCAGCTCACTGTCGACCGTAAATCGGGCACATCCAGGCCGGATGATGTCAATCCACTGACCTTCGCCTTCGCTGCACGTCCCATGAATGTTAATATGAATGAGACTTCAAGGGAGGCAGGCTTCTAGCCTATACCACCTACAAGCCGTCAAGTTCCTGTTAGTTACAGCCTTTTCTTCCATCTTGCGTGTCGCGATGTTGATCCGTCCAGCTCGCGTTCAGCGTGATACATCTGTATATCAATGGACATACGTAGTGACCGACGTAGCGGAACTTGAAATGCGCCAATGTCGCTGATGCAGCATACAGCTACGTGTTCCTTTCGGCCGTTCCCCGTTGACTCAGACGGCGGTCTAATATACTTTAGGGTCCGACTGAATTTGATATGAAGCGAACTAACTCACATAGACTAAGATTCAAAATCGAGTAAGCATTACGATGAAGGTCATACAACTATGGTTCTCCCTTTACCGCAAAGTTGAGATTGGCTTCGAGGGGCGGATCTGGAAGACGCGCTAGTGTAGGGTAAATAATTCATCGGCATGTAAATTACCGTTTTTTACACCCCAGGTTTCGGGACCCCGTTTTTTACACGGTCAAAAATGTAAATTACAGTAAATCACGGGACTTTTGCTCCTCGGCACGTGACGCCCCTCCGGCGTGTAAAACACAGTAAAAAACAGTAAAAAAAGTAAAAAAAGTGTAAACATATGTAAAAAAAGCCTCAGGGAGCGTCCGAATTACACGCAAGGGCATACAGAGTTTCTAGTACACGCTGTAAAGTACCTACACATCCCAATTAAATTGCCACAATGTCTTACCATCTTCTGCCGGCTCGTTCACATTTACTAGCTCCGAGTCCTCCTGAACATCCGTGCGCGGCCGTTGTGAATTTCCAGCCCTAGACGACGGCGGCGATGTCGCGAGCATCTCTAGAAGGTCCGGGTCATTAAGGTTCACCTCGTTTGCAGCAACAAACCCAGACTCTCCCCGGATAACTGTAGCAGGCTCATCGAGCCACTCCAGTGTCTCGTCGTCGTCTCGTTCCTCCGGCTCGAACCC